GTTCTGTCGGGCCTTCTGGGCCTCCAGGAGAGAGGGCCCATGGGGCCGCCTGGTCCTGGATCTGTCGGGCCTCCTGGGCCTCCAGGAGAAAAGGGACCCATGGGGCTGGCTGGTCCTGGATCTGTCGGGCCCCCTACTCTTGGACCACCGGGACAAAAGGATCTCCCGGGGCAAGCTGGACCTATCGGTCCTCCTGGCCTGCCCTGCAGCACCGTGCACAATGCCAAACAAGCTGGAATACCCACAGGACGTACGGTGAATGCAGATAAAAGTAAGAATGCCTGTGTACAAAAAAAAATAAAATTGCAAATAGTCTATTATTATTTTTCCCTACTTTTTCCTAAATCCAAACTCACATTGATATTTTCTGAAAAAAAAAACTAAAGGGATTACTAGGTTTAAGCACATGTCATGTCATGATGTCAGTGCTTGATTGCATTTCATAACTACAAGGCATATTTTGGTGTTGATGAAGCATTAGATATTGTATGTATCTCATGAATTTCAATGTGAACTATCCTTGGCCTGTTGATACAAAATATGTTTTCCAGGATCTTGTCCCAGAGGTTACAAGATTTGGCGTGAAATCTGCTACAAGTTTTTCAACGCACGGAGGCCCTTCTCCCAAGCTGCCACGGCCTGTCGTAATGAAGGCGGCTTACTCGCCATGCCCCGAGACGCTGATACCACCGCCTTTCTAGCTTCCATCGTTGCAAGGCCAGATTATTACAGCTGGATCGGTCTGCACTATCAGCGTAAAGAAGGGAGGTTTTAATGGATGGATGGCGATGCACTTGGCACGTACAGCGAGTGGGATCCGGGTCAGCCGAGAAGAATGACTCGTCAAGATTGTGTCGTTTCCCACCGTTCCGACTCGAAAGTAACGTGGAGTAACTCACCATGCACTTTCCTTTTTTTCTTCACCTGCCAAGTTGTTGCACGTGAGTCATGTAACGCATTCTTTCTTAAAACTATTCAATATTGTAAATGATATTATATATTAAAGTTCATGGGGATGAAACTGGGTATCTGGGTATATATTTGAATCTCCATATCTGAATAAAGCTTTTCGATTTCTCAGATCTTACATTCTAACTTTCTACCTTTACAGGATGTGGCTAGAAGACATTTACGCCCCTGTAACACACCTGTCCATCTCCTAACCAGCAGCCAACCAACTAAAGAATGTCTGAATTTCGGGACGAGTCTGACCAAATTTAGGCTACGCCTACCGTTCTATACTAATCAAGTTTAATGCGGACCGCCTAAAATTGTCTTCGCCTAGTTTACATCAATTTGCAGTTTTTTTTTAAATACTGAATTTGTGGGTATTAACTAAATACCTGTTCATCCATAGATTACGAAAAGCAGTGCAATATATTTTTTTCTCCTAGAAACTCATATTTCAAAAGTTTCTGTTCCTAGCCTTTAGTTTGAATACAAGACATGTGTCTCACATTATGACTAACATTTCGCATCCTATGTCATAGGATGTGACGGGTGTAAGCTATGTCAATAACATACCATTTACAGATCTAATATATATATGTGTAATGCAGCTCTACAAACAAAAGTATAAAACACACTAGTGGGTGCTACTTGAAAAGGCCGACAGTTTTAAAAAAAGAATCCTATTGTTTAAGTAACATTTTTCTTTTGCAGGAGGTTTGAGTACCATTTTCCTTGCGTATGAGATTTGAGTACCATTGTCCTGGTGTATGAGGTTTAAGTAACATTTCCATTGTGTATGAGGTTTAAGTACCATTTCCCTGGTGTATGAGGTTGAGTACCATTATCCTGATGTACATGTATGAGGTTTGAGTACCATTATCCTGGTGTGTGAGATTTGAGTACCATTAACCTGGTGAATGAGGTTTGAGTAGTATTTTCCTTGTGTATGAGGTTTAAGTATCATTATCCTGGTGCATGAGGTTTGAGTATCATTATCCTGGTGTATGAGGTTTAAGTACCATTTTCCTGGTGTATAAGGTTTAAGTATCATTATCCTGGTGTATGAGGTTGAGTAAAATTATCCTGGTGTATGAGGTGAGTACCATTTTCCTGGTGTATGAGGTTTAAGTATCATTATCCTGGTGTATGAGGTTTAAGTACCATTTTCCTGGTGTGTGAGGTTTAAGTATCATTATCCTGGTGTATGAGGTTTAAGTACCATTTTCCTGGTGTGTGAGGTTTAAGTATCATTATCCTGGTGTATGAGGTTGAGTACCATTTTCCTGTATGTATGTATGAGGTTTGAAAATGAGGTTTGAAAATGTATTTCCTATTGTTTGAGTAACATTTTTCTTATGCAAGAAGGTTGAGTACCATTATCCTGGTGTATGAGGTTGAGTACTATTACCCTGGTGTATGAGGTTTGAGTACCATTTTCCTGTTATATGAGGTTAGAGTACCATTTTCCTTGAAAATATGTATTAGATTTAAGTACTATTTGTCTTGTGAATGAGGTTTGAGTACCATTTTCCTTGTGTATGAGGTTTGAGTACCATTTTACTTTTATATGAGGTTAGAGTACCATTTTCCATGTAAAGGAGGCCTGAGAACCATTGTCCATTATAATATGTATGAGGTTTAAGTACTATTTATATTTCAGTCCATACTATGGTATGGATGAAATATATTGTGTTCTCTGATGTTTCTTCTTCTTCTTCTCCTCCTCCTGCCAAACAGTCAAAGGGATTCAACTCCGCCATCATTCAGCCAAATGACTTGAAACTTGGCATGGAGGTAGAGTAAGCCAATACCCCCAGGCTTTTTTTTTCATTTTTTTGAAACATGCCTTTGAAAAAATTTTATGAAGGTTTTTTGGGGCATTTTTTGACAAAAAATGGATTTTTGGATCCTGAGCCCTGGTTTTATAACCAAATGATCTGAAATTCTGTATAAGGGTACCTTGAACATGTGTCTACAGAATAGCAGTCACATATTTGGCATACACCACTTCCAAATGACTCATTTGGGGGACTTTAATGGCTATTTTCAGCAAAAAAGGGCCAAAAGTGCTGTACCCGTTCCATGTTCTATCTAAAGAATGGCCGGTTCCATCCATGGAACACGTGTTCCATTGCGGGTTACCTGAGGTCACATTGCACGTAAGTCGTGCGGAATGACCCACACATTCCATTTTATGTGCCTATGACCTTCAAAATGTATCAAATCACATCATTGTTAGTATTTGCATACCTGTAATAAGACTAGTAAAGCTTTTGAGATTCAATGTGCTTGTTCTTGCATCTTTGTTCTCAATTAGATAGCTACTATATAATTCATTTATTTGAGAATCTTTGCCAGTTTTACACTGGGGTAAGTTTGGAATAGTCCACTTTTGCGTGGGAGGGAGATGGACTGACATATGCTGTATTTGCTCCCAAGCAAATGTCGGCCTTTCTAGTTTTCTTGTGTATTAGCAACTTGATGTGTTTCTTTTTTTGAGAAAAAAGTCAGTCAAGAGTGTTGAAATCAAATAACTACCACCGCCCAATAACAAACTACGATAATAGAGGATTAGAGATGTTGAACATTTGGTCACAATTAGACGCATTACACGCAAGTGCCTTTGTGCGTATAAAGGATAATACATATGTACGTTTGAAAAGGTTTTCACAATTGAATAGTGTCAGAAAAATCTTTAAGATTTAAGAAATGCATTTTTAGAAAAAGGATGAACTGCCTAAGTAAATATTAGCCATTGTATTATTATCATTATTATTACAGGAATGCTATAGTATGATGGCATATCTAGACCGGGATAGACGAATTTGAAGATGATAATGGTGATATCATACGAGAGACTGACTTAGCCATCAGTATATGTAGTGCAATATCAACAAGTTGAGTACCAATTAATGGTACAAAGCACTGACTATAACAAATGTACTTTTAAACAATTATGTATTCAACAAACTAATAGTAGAGAAAATTTAAGTGATTATTATTATCATTATCATTATTATTATGATAACAGAATATTAATGGGTTTGTAGGACAATACCAAACTTTGGATGTTGCTTTTGATTAATCAGACCCACCCATGGTACAAAGTATTAACTATACAAAATGTAAATGTATGCATATTTGATCCTTTTTTTATTCATTTTGTAGACATGCCACTTTCTTTTTTAATTGTACACCAGCTCATTATGCATGTCTCCGATTTGTCTTTATTGTTGTTTGTTACTTTTTTTGTTTTTGTTGATGCTAATTTTACCTACATATTTTTGGACGGCACAGGTTCTAGAAAAGTAAGGTATACTTTTGGCAAAGTCCTCCTGTAAATGTGAATAAAAAATATTTCATGTTAGCGCTTACTTCATATATTCATTCATTTTTAAAATGAATCAATATATGAAGTACGCGCTAATATAATATATACGGCAAAGCATAACATTTCCATGCCAAAAAAGTAGTTGAGTTAGAGTTGTGTAAGAACTTCAGATCATGGAACAATTGGCTAAATTATGGAAAGAAAATTATTCATAATTACTTCATGAATGCATTATTTCTTCACTGAATTCTCAATAAAATAGACTGATTTATTTTTTTGAATTATTTTTTTGCTCCATTGTTTGATTGATACCTAGACACAGCGTTTCTCTGGATGACATGAGCATTATGTTATAAAACGTTAATGCATATGCTGATTACCTAGAGCTTTCCTGTCATATTTGATGCTTGACTTTCACTCCAAGTTCATTTACTAGAAGAATACCAGACACATTCGCACTCATCCAATCTTTATTTACGACCAAGATTCTTTCATATTTGTTGTCCCAATACAAGAAATGAACTCACTATGAATGTTAGCTTGTTTTTGTCGCCATTCATCAAATGTACGATCCATTATGCTGACTTTCCGAACGCCGGAGGCAGTAATGACGTCTGGAGTGAATAAAAAACGTTCAATTCATCGCATTTGATTGTACATCTGATGAAAGTTGACAAGGTTGACCGAAAATTCTCGGCGAATTCCTTTGTTGTGTTGAAACAAAGCTTAAACTCTACAACTACTGACTTTATTAACGCAGATAAGCTTTCATTCGAATCATATTTAGACTCATGTGGCCATGCCTCAGGCCATGAGCGGGATCCTGGCGTAGATCTGTGCCGGACCCTGGCCGGACGGCAGGTTCACCTGCTGGATCCAGGTCGGCCACACGGTGCCCTTAAACCCAACCATGGCGAAGTTTCCTGTAAATATAAAGTATACTGTTATGACGTATTAATGACCTATTTCTTGTTCCTGAACTTTTGACCTCCAGGACAGACACACACAAACATACATACACAGAGAGAGAGAGAGAGAGAAAAACACAGACACAGTCACACAGACACACACGCACACACACACACACACACACACACACACACACACACACAGACATACACACATGGACACACACACTCACAAACACACACACACACAGAGACACATCACACACACACACATACACACACACTCATAACACACACACAGAGACACATCACACACACACACACACACACACACACACACACACACACACACACACACACACACACACACACAGATACACGGGTGGTATTAGCCTCTACCAGGCTTCGGAAAGCGACTGGAAAAAGTAAAATGTGGGCAGATACAGAGATAACATGCCGGGTGCGGAAAACTGTACTCTCTAGCGGACCAACTCCGCTGGCATGTCAGTCCCGAGGCTTAGAAAATGTAGGATATAGCAGTCATAGAATCAGTGATGTGTAGACGTTTACAGACCTAGTGGTTGGGCATGAGAAGGTAGATACAGCATACCTCTATTGCCGGTCTCCACAGGCTCCTGAGCTCCGATCTCCTTGAGTGCAACTAGGCACTCTGCGGCATAGCGACTGGGTTCATCTCTCGTGGCCACAAGGACGATGGAGCTGAAGCGTCAGAACATTAAAAATATTAAGTGAGGCAAAACTCCGCCATACATATACATTATGAAGTGTTTGAATAGATAAATGAATGTTTCAAACTCTACAGACGAATGTCATGTTACACTCCGCAAAAGTTTCATTAGGTTGGTGAATGAATAACAGTGTTCTGTATTCCCCACCATTTCTTTTACTTGTTTACACTGACGTTTAAGACAGCATTGGTAGCACTAGCCGTAGCACCCAGCTTCAGTGCGCATCGGCCCTAACGAAGATGAGAGACGGCGTTGGTATCTGTTGATGTTCCACCTGCGTACATTACATGTATGAAAGTACTATTATGTAAAATACTGTAATTACAGAATTTCTGTGAGTGATTGAGTGATTGAGTGAGTGATTGAGTGAGTGATTGAGTGAGTGAGTGAGTGAGTGAGTGAGTGAGTGAGTGAGAGAGAGTGGGCAGTTTAATAAGTGACAACACAGCACTTGATACTTACTCTGGAGCAATGTCGTTCCGGATGAAGTTGGCCATTGCCAGATCAGCTTCGGTTTGGCCGTGGGTGTCAAAGGTCATTTCCTGCCGCACCGCACCGGTCAGTGCGTCCACGCTGATGACGCGGAAGCCTCGGTAGCTATCACCAAACCGGACTCCGTCTATCTGAGGGGAAAAGAATGTAAAAAAAAGTTTTATGATAGCTGGTCCTAGATTTTCATCTTTGTATATTGAATACATCGAGGGGCATGCTTTGCTCTGATTATTAATCCCAATTATTTAGCACCGTTATCTATTTTAATGTGAAAAACGTGCTAAGTATTTTTCTTGGGATAAAATATGGTGCTTAAAAATTGGGATAAATTGCCAATGCTCGCTTTGCAAAGTTATGTCTGAAGGAGGGTTTTTATACGAAACAAAAGATAGAAGATTTCAGACTTTTCGAAAGTATTTTCGGTTTTGATGACTGCCAGGTACACCCCACTTCTTTTGTCTGACCTTTTGGCTCCTGCCACTCTGTCAAATCTTTGTTCGAACACGTACTGTAAACCAATTCTCACGTTTACCCCATTTCCTGTGTCTGACCTTTGGACCCGTCATTTTACCTGTCAATATAATCTTCCCCATCCACGAACTGTGAACCTGTTTAGTCCAGATATACATACCCAAAAATACACAAACCAAACATTCAAAACAGTACTTCCGTACCCGAAAGAAGATAACGAGATAACTCATGATATTCAAATATAAGTTTGATGTCACATCGTATAACTCTCTATCGCCTGATTCTGCAATAAACATATCTTCACATGCTCGAATTTATATAGATAATGACATGTGGCAACCCCTGCATAATATACTTAGGACATATCTCAGGCTGTCTAGACGTTTAATAGCAATTCATGTTTGAAAAGCCCATTCTCATCCTAAAGTACACACTCTTGTATTGAGTAGATTAGCCTTATAGAAATGCAGTTACGTTCCAGTAGTTAATATACTTTACACCTTGTATAATTGTTGTTCAATAGAGTTAATGAATTTTTTCCATGACCAGGAACTGTAAAATGTACCTCGATGTAGGCTCTATGACCTTGCTGTGTCTCCTGCCAACCAGCGGCCTGAATGGTTACTTCCAGAAATTTCATGTCATCGACACTGACGATTGGCTCCTGTAATGTAATAATCAAGTCAGGTATTACTCCGTTTATGTCTAGTAAAGGTCGTGTTGGCAATCAAACATCCAAAAGAAGAGTTAATGTATCTTTGATAAAAAAACAACAGGTTCAGCGACAGATAGGCCACAATAGGGGAGGGGGCAGTCATTCTGAGTGGGATTGTAAGTTATGCCAAACGTTTCTTTATAAAGTTACAGAAAGTACATTCATGGGTGAGACCCTACGTATATATGTATAGACTCCAAACTTAATAAAATAGGGCGAAAAAACAATAGGGCAAAAACAAGATTTCTAGTAATACATTTTCAAATGTTGGGATAATCTTAAGACAAAGTAGTTCTGTATGAAACAGTATTGCTGGTCCCTGTAGATGTGTAAACATCTCGATAATCAAGAACAATATTAGAACGAGCTGGCCATACCATCATTAGGAGCTATTACACTGAGTATGCATGTGTTATGGAACACCCTAGACTCAACAGTTACCATTAAACGCGAGCAATTGTGTTTTACGTTTGCTGGATCTTTGGTAGTCTCTACACATAAAGGCATTTGCGACATATTCGCCCATTTGTAGCATGTGAACTACTTTCAGAGGGCACCAAATTCCAATCAGGCGAAAGTTAATGTTATCGCGTACTGATGTCATCCGTAAAAATAATTGCTGTGGTCTAAGTGAATCATCTTGCTTGTTTGATACAGATCTGACTTGCTGATGGCCTGCACTCACTACAGTGTATACAGGATAAAAAAATCCAGATGTTTCTGAAATGCTGCCTCGTGGGCTCGTGTGCGTAGAGGCAGAGTGCTCGACTCTGAATCAAGAGGTCCCGGATTCGAGTCCTGACATGCCACCGATCTTGTGTCCTTGGAAAAAAGCACTTCACACGCCTTTCCTCACTTCGTGCAGGTGAATATGTCGTGAGTAATGTATTATCCCCTGCGTTGGTGGCGACATTAATATATTGAACAAAAACTTGAGTGTGCCGTCACCACGTCTTGTCATTAGATGTCACTCTCCAATCAGAGGGAAATGGTTACAGACTGGCCACTTTGATACTGTCTTACCCCCACCAAAAGATCTGCTTGGAGATTAATTAGATGTTGGAATATAAAAAAAGAAATGCTGCGTCTATGTGCAAAACTCACCGGAGCCCCACAGCCAGAGCAGTCGTTGACCAGACTCAGGAAGCTCGGCATGGGGACAGTCTCTGTCGGCGGCAGGCTGTACTTGGGATAAGCGGCTGCTGTACAGTCGCTGACGGCGTCACTCGTCATGGTGGCCGAGATGAAGATCCTCTCACAGCCCATGTGTGAACAGTAGTTGTGCCCTTCCCGGTCGTAGTGAGCACGGACTTTCAGGAAGAACAGGCTGGAAGTAACAGACAAAATCAGTTCTGTGCAGAATAAACTCCTCAATGTTCTCTACACGCGTTAACTTATGGATGACATTCAAAATATTGGAAAACGATAATCTTGTAAAAATCAATTCCCAAGGAAAAGAAGCAACGATGAAAAAAATGAAAATAGAACCTCTATCATTTGCCATACCACAGTCTGTGTAGTCATTTGTTTAACCCTCCTGACCGCATAGATTTCCTAATAAAAGCAACCGCGCAACTGCGTAGGTCAGCACTGAATTTGAAGTGGACATTCTGGAACTTTGATTTTGAAAAATTTCATCTATTTGTACACTCGCATCAATTTGGGGCTCCCAGGGGATGCCATCCATAAAATCAAATCAACATGGTCATAAACATGTCCTGTCAATATATCCACTTATGTAGGCCAATTTATACACAATTCGCTGACAAAACGCAAAAATGTAATAAATTCCTGACACAATATATTACTATCAATAGAGTTAGATTAGTATAATTAGTGTCTCTTTACTGTTATGCATTGTTTATGAAAGCGGGCCAGATTCTTAGTACAGTTAGTAGAACTGTTAGATACATTCAGCATTACCAACTATGTATGTATGTTAGCATCACCAACTATGTATGTGTATTTTGCATACGATGTACCCGCTACATCTGTTGCGAAATAAAGTTCTTCTTCTATCAATCTCCTACCTAGCTTCGGTTAGGGACGTCCCTCGGATAGGACGTAAACTGGAGGTCCCGTGTTTGAGGAGAGCCACAACTCGAGCACGTTATTAAAGATCCCAACACACCTTTCGAAAATAGTAGGGGCATGCCCTGGTGTGCGATGGTCCAAAATTCTACAGCCCAAATACTACAGTGTAGCAGAATCATCAGCAAGTTGATGTTGGCTACCTTAACCCCCGAAGACAAAGACAAAAGACAAGTCCAAAGCAGCCTTCTTCTTACCCTGTGCTTTCCTCGAAGTAGAACATCTTGCCGTTGCCTCCCTGGACGGCGTTCAGGCCGGACACAGAGCGGATGTCCTCCTCATGAGTGACGGCGTGCGGCACGCGCCTCTCCAGCTGGTACTTGACTCGGAACGTGGTTCCCCGCGGGTAGCAGAGACCGAGCCGGAGCCATTCTCCGCTGAGGTAGGAACACGTTTGGGAATTGGAAACTGCTCTAACGTTTGAATAGCAAAGTTTTTTTTATCACAACCATTTATTTTTCACGAGCCGACGTTTCGATGACCTTCTGTCATCTTCATCAGGGTAATTCTGACTGGTTTACTGTGCACTGACACTAGATGTTACTTGGTGCATTGTGCACTAAAGGTGTTACATGGTTCACAGTGCACTTAAGCTAGTTCTTTCTGTTTACAATACATTCCGGAACGTAACATATAGTGTAACATATTCCGGAAAGTAACATATAGCGTCAGTGAACAGTAAACCAGTCAGAATTGCCCTGATGAAGATGACAGAAGGTCATCGAAACGTCGGCTTGAAAAATAAATGGTTGTGATAAAAAGGACTTTGCTATTCAGTCGTTTACCAACCTGATGAAATTATTTACGGACCCAAACAAAATTATTTAACAAAATGAACTCAAGATTAACTAAGGTATCAAATAACGCAGGTCACAAATTAAAAACAAAATCAAATACAAAATCAAGGTAACTTAAATAACATAAGAGAAACAATAGTGTAACCTTAACATCATATACGTACAACCAAGGTAGAACATAATACAATGAAATCAGGATTAACATTAGGATTAAATTTGCATATCAATGGTTGTCAAGTGCATACAGTTGTACGAAGGCTGTTAGTGTTTTGGCTGTTTTTGAATTGTGGGAATTGGAAACTGCTCTATCGTTTGTACCGTCTGTACCATAATATTCCTGAATTTTGAACAAGGTCACTACAAACAAGAAATCGGAAATTTCAGACTTTTGGAAAGTAGTTAACCCTCAACAGAACACCTTCCCGGACTGATTAATCTGTACACTTGGGGTCCGCGCGGACCCCAGAACAGTTTTATGCTAATTTTTAGAAATTATCAACATGCTACCAGCTCAATTGTTTTGCAAACTGATGTGGGAACCTCGGTGTCCGCATTACATACAAAAATCATACATTTTGAACTTTTTCTATTTTTTGGTGAAGAAAAGAAGAAATACCCGATTTTTAAACCCATTTCAGACTGAAGGGGCTTTTGAGGCCCAAATTTGATCTCAGATAGCGGCTAAACGGCTTGCGCTAGAAGTATCAAATTTGGAGACCTTTCCTAAAATGTCTCTGGAAAAAAGTTCAGATTAGTTTAATACTAGTAAGTTGATGTTTTTTTTGTTTTGCAATGGCAACGGGTTTCTAGCAGGAAGTTTTTTTTGAAAATAGAAGTAATTTTGGTTTAAACATAAAATTTTCTGAGTTTTATATTAAATTACGCTTCTTTTCCAACATTGATAACATCTTACACAATTAAATATAAGTTAAATCATTTAATATGCATAGAATATGCTAACTTGATGACGTCATTGGTCAAAAATCCATTATGGCGGACTACATTATTAGCTCTGACGTCATATGACGTCATAATTACACCAACGTTATTAAAATTAAATTCTATTACTACACCATTCTCTGAAAACTTGGTAGACATACGATGAGTGCATAAAAACATATAAAAACGGAAATAAGGTAATGCATAAGAATTCCAGTGTATCCATTATGATCGAAAGCCGGCTGGGGTCCGCGCGGACCCCAAAAGAAAATCAGATATAATTTTTTTAATGATAGAAACGGAGTTTTCTGCACTGTATTGAGAGACAACTTTGTGGGTGACAATTACCTAAAATTTCAGAAAAAAAGTCTTTAGAAACAAAAAAGATATTACAGAATATATAGTGTTAGGTCCGCGCGGACCCCAGGTGTACTGTTTAGGGTTAAAGGGTTTTCGTGACTTTCAAATTCACCTCATTTTCTGTGTCTGAAGTCAACGTTTTTCCTTCTGTCATTCTGTCTGTCAATCTTGCCTATCAACCTACTCTCAAGTTACTGTATCTGACCTTTTGATCTTGTGCAATTAACCCTTTAGCTGCCAGTGTTTCTCACCAATACATCCCCTCTGTGCCAGGGTTTCCAGACCCTTTTGAAATAGGGGGTACTACCTTTGTATTACTGTCTTTTTGTCATTTTCCCCTCAACTTACCATATCATGCCAGATATCATTGGAAAGCTAAGAATGTGTACTTTACAGAAAAATATTTCAAATGTAGCCTGACATCAATAGTAATGAATTACAAGGGCAATAATGCAATAAAATAGCTGTTTTCATAGTTTTTTTGTGTTACAATGCCTAAACTATATAAAAAGTATAAGTATGAAACCTATAACATTCCTGACATGTCCTGACACTATGAGAATCACATACACGTAAAATACAGCACTCAGGTGTCACTACAGGTAAGTTTATGATCAGATATTGTTATAGGTGCTGAACTGACTATTCAGCTAAAACACTGATCCATTACAACATATTACACTTCTTTCTGTACCCTTATAAAAGATGGTACATAGACTTGTTACATATCATATGAAAGCATATAGTAGATACTATAACTAGAAATGTATATCAACTTGATAACATAGACTACAAGGGTCATAAACAGGTAAAGAGGCAATAAAATGCACAATTTCCACCTTGTTTCCATACAATCAACAATAAGCAACCACAGAATGACTTGGGCCTTGACTTAACAGATCCTGACATGTCCTGACACTATGAGAATCACATACACGTAATCATACAGCACTCAGGTATCATTACAGGTAAGTTTATGATGGATATTGTCCTAGGTGCTGAACTGACTATTCAGCTAAGACACTGATTCATTACAACATATTACACTTCTTTCTGTACATTTATAAAAATGGTACATAGAGTTGTTACATACTATATGGAAGCTTATAGTAGATTCAGGAATGTATATCAACTTGATAACATAGACCATAAGGGTCATAAACAGGTAAAAAGCAATAAAATGTACAATTTCCACCTTGTTTCCATACAATCAACGATAAGCAACCACAGAATGACTTGGGCCTTGACTTAACAGATCCTGACATGTCCTGACACTATTAGAATTACATACAAGTAAAAATACAGCACTCAGGTATCATTACAGGTAAGTTTATGATGGATATTGTCCTTGGTGCTGAACCAACTAATGTATACAACATAATACATTCCTTCCTGTACCTATGTAATCGATGGTATATATACTTGTTACATATCATATGAAAGCTTATTGTATATACTATGTCTAGGAATATATTTCAACTTGACAATATAAACTACAAAGGCAATAAACAGGTAAAAAGCAATAAAAAGTATAATATTATGCTTTATACCATGGAAAATTTTACATAAAAGCTGCTATAAAATAGAAATAAAACTTGCCACTAAATTCACTTTGTGCAGTGAAAACATGGTGAGACTTGGTCAGGCTGTCTCCATCCCCCCTCTGCCAGTTTGTGCCATCAAATCTTGTATCAGTTGCAGCTTGATGGGCGGCTCCGGGATTTAAATCCCCATCAGCTGGCCGGCTGCAATCTCGCCTGTCAGTGCCACATTCCCTTGTTGTTTGGCCTCTTCCACACCCCCGACCTCGGCCCCGACCTCTACCCCTAGCACGACCACGGCCATTAGTAGTTCCATGGCCGATGTCACATTCACTAATGCTATCTGGTTCCATGTGAGCACATTTCCTCCCGTCTGCTAACACGATCCGTCTCATTTTCACTACTCTCAATGGAATCAGCGTCTGATATACGTTAACCATAGGCTAAATCAACAGTAGCGACCTCCTACAACAGTTCTTCGAGGGTAAACGTCGTCATTTTGGTGTTAACAGTCCAAATTCACCGCCCAAAACACGTAAACAAAAGAACAAAGCCTCGGCAGACGACGCCGCCGCCATCTTGGCAATTATAGGCCGCAAAGCATTGTGGGATGACGTAATCGGTGATTACGCAACCCACTTTGACCTCTGACCTGCCCTCACTTACCGCCGCCAGTCACTTCCTGGTTGGCGGGCGCGAAACATGCAGCTGTGCTAAGTTATCCCGGGGAATACCCTATCCCGAATATACCCGGGCATGGCACACAGGGGATGTATAGTGAACCCGGATATACCCGGGACCGGCAGCTTAAGGGTTTTAAACACACCTGGATAAACAGACACACAAACCCACAGCTCAGCCACTCAAAGCAATAATATATCCATACCCAGAAATAATGAAAAAAAAAACGATTAGTCATAATAGCAATAACGACAATAGGATGCGCGTCGCATTTCCAAGCCGGGGCCGGGCCGGACAGTTTGCGAAAGCGAGATATATGATATAAAAGACAACGCACATAAACATTTAAAAGTTAAAAAAATTATAAACAATCGAGTTTATCATAAAATGATTTGTGCATATTCATGGATTTTTTCTTTCAATCATATATGTTATATATTCAAAAAGTTCGGCCGGGCCCTGGTTAAGAATTGTGACTACAGCATTACATGATATACTTGTTGCATGTAAAAATGACCCTCTTCGATGTATGTATCAATGGTAGTTTCCCGAAGAGTGGGGGTAGAGGGAGAGGGCAAAAATCCCTTGAGATACAAATGTTACTTTTGGACAAACGCGTGTGTGTGGCTCCGAGAATGGAACGGACTGACCAAGGAGGTTTAAAATCAAATATTTAACCTTCTCGAAAAAAAAAAATTAACGGCTCTCAGTGGCCAATGTGCAGATGTTGTCACATCGGCGCACCAAATCCGTAAGGTGTTTTTGGCACCCTGACAGACAGATTAGCCTTAGATGCTCGCTGGGCGTCACTCCACCGTATAGGTGTCGTGTAAAGTGCCTTTCCCAAGGGCACAACGTCGGGCAACGGTGAGTATCGAACCCGGGACCTCTCGATTCCGAGTCCAACGCTCTAACCGTTGCGCCACCGACGCCACAAGGTTTTAAAAAAATAACCTTCTTGGACTGACTGAGGACTACATCCTCTGTCTCTTGGCAATCCGTTATATTTTAACGAACCAGTTACAGTACTACGTATATCTACCTGTTGAAGTTGACGGGGTAGATGTAGACCTCTCTCGGCGCCCGTCCGTTCCAGTGGATGGTGTAGGTTTTCTCCAGCATCACGGCAGGCTGGTACTGCTGGGTGCTGCCTCCGGACTTCGTACCTTTCAGGACAAGTGGGTGATCCGGATACTCGTCACGGACAAGCGACAGTAACAGGTTACTTGGCTGCTTCGTCTTGATGAATAACTGTAGAAGGTAAGAAAGAAAAACAAAAAAAAATTATCATATCATGAAAGTTCACCTGTGTTGGTAGTTACATGACTTTAAAGTTAAAACTTTTGATCCAACACAAAGAAATCTTGACGTCACACTTCAAAAAAGCCACGTGACAAGCTTCACTGGGTCAGTCTACTGAGGAAGACCAGAGTGACTGGTCCAAAGCTTTAGGTGAGAGATTTCTTTGTGTTGGATCAAGAGTTTTAACTTTAAACATAAAAACGTATTATCATGGTTGTTACATAAACTCCTTTTTACGTCAAAATCTGCATTTCTGCATTTTATTTTGTTACTGTATACGTACATACCGTTATTTATGCTTAGGTCACAATTCAAGAAAGGGGCCCGCTCGGCGCGTGTTCGACGTGTTTTTTGGCACTACCGAACGGGACCTGGACGGAGACCGGCGGGCTTCCCGACGGCTGCCGGCCTATTTTTGGCCCCGCGCGGTCGCCGAATCGATTTTAACTCAGAGTTAAAAACACTTCGGGCCCCGTTCGGCGAAATACGCCGAAGCGACGCCGTAACCTCACTGCCCGGGACCCGTCGGGCGGCCGAACAGGCACCTGCCTAAGATTATGACGTCACATGTGCTGATCAGTGCATCAGATGGTCAGGAAAAGGGGGGTATAGGGAGCATATATAAACTCCTGCCTCAGACTACGTCGCACAGTTCACCACGTGTGTGTTACATCGTGTACTTGTGTGTGTTACACCTTGTATTTGTGTGTCAGAATGTCGAAGGGCAAGGGAAAACAGCTGGCACGGCTCTCTTGCCAACTTCATAAAACAGATCATAACAGGAATAGAATGTGTCTGACATTATCTCTTGTTACATCATATGCCTTCGTAATAAAATGGAATCAGAAGTTATTGGCATTTATTTTCAGTCCAAATTTCAACAGAAGTAACGATATTCAGTGGTTTTATTGCGCAATAGCATGGAGCTGCCACGGCACACTTCCTGCGTCACTGCTGAAGTACTTCCTGCGTCACTGTTGAAGTACTTTCGAAAGTAGGCCCTCTGTTACTTTTGCGACGCACCAGTTCTGCCTGCCTCTCTATTTCAGCTACCAATGCCAGAAGACCTACATGTAGGTTGTCACCAATCTCAATCTCAGACGGGCTTGTAAGTTGTTTGCAGGTTGCACTGAACGCTGCATCGCCAACTTCAGTCTACTCTTTACTTGACGTGTACTCTTTACTTGAAGTGAACGGTAGCAGGCAGTGCAGCGCTTATATATGTACCTGCTCAAAAACACGAGAGGAGCCCGTCGGGATCCCTCCAGGAACCCGCCAGGGACCTGACAGCTGCCCGGCCGAACTGTAAGAGCCGGTCGGCACCCTACCACACGCCGCACGGGTCAAGACGGGCGACTGACCGGGCACCGGACGGGTCCCTGACAGAAACCGGCCGCAAAAATTTATGAATATTAATGAGAGCCGCCGGCCGGAGCACAAGCAGGCCCCGACAGGGAGCCGTAAAGGAACATTTAATTGTGACCCTGACGGTACGGCGCACGCTCGGCGTCATGACGCCGGTCGGCGTCTACGCCGAGGACATGCCGAACGGGCGCCGTTTCAAATGTGACCTAAGCATAAAGCATGTAAATTTGTGTCAGTCTTTACGATTTCTTGTCACTTGTGTATGAGATGTTGGAAGAGTAACTAACAGAGGTGTCAAACTAGTTGTGGATCCAAATAAAGTTTAGAAAATGTAAGACACTGAATTATTTTTGTAACACCGTTAAAATACTCCCTCCACCTAGTTGTGTGTTGTCAACCTGCTTCCTTGTAGGTTCTGGTAGCGTACCTGTGCGTACTTGCCACTGCAGATGTAGGCTCGCCACTCCGGCTTCTCTACACACCCTGGAGTCCTCAGAACAAAGTTGTCCTGTCCCACTACAAAACTGTCAGGATAGCCGGTGGTGCTGCCATCCTCGTCGTGAAATATCTGTGTCTTATCCCCGTCTTTGTCGTAGCCTTGGAAGTAGGGCAGGTTTCTGCCGCCAAGAAACACCCGACTCTGAACCTGGGAATTGTTAAGTATGCAACATTAGTCTTCACAAAGTGAACTTACTACTTGTTGTATGTTGTACGTATACAAAATATATATATCTTAATGTTTAGGCCATGCACAGCAAGTAATTTTTATGGATGACATCAGCGTGCGCATTGATTTTCGCCTGATTTTGGAAAAAAAAAACAAGAAATTTTGTTGCCCTTTGACAGTGGCCAACATGCCGAAAATGGGCAAAATGGCATGCCATGTAATGCCTTGTAATACGTGGATGGCAGATAAACATGAAGAGAGGATACACGACAAGTCTCTGATTTATTGTTTTGACTTTTACTATAATGCAGTGATGTATTTCATTCCTTTTGTACCCACCGAATCAAAACCACCTGTACAATAATTGAAAATTTCCCCTTTTCTAAGTTGTTTCAGTGACAAATGAATGTTGTAACAGTTGGTAGTAAAGTTAGCAAAATAAAGGTATCATTTCTTGTTCAGCAGGGTTTATGATGTAAAAATTCAAAAATATAGGAATCTTGTTTTTTTGGCCCACCTTGCTTTTTTCACCCTCTCGCATTAGATTTGGATTCTACGGAGGATGTCATCCATCAAATTTATTTGCTGTGGCCTTGTTTAGATTCCTCACTTCGAAGTTCAGTCTCAATGGATAGAGCTCACGGTACGGTCCCATTTGACGTATATCGTTGGTCGCTTTTGCTGATTTCAACCGACAGAATTAACTACCACCTACAAGAATCTAAGATAATCTTTTTCCTTCAGGTTTTGTTAATTTGGTTACGGATGAATGGCATTCCATGGCAGCTCCAAAACTGATGCGAGCGTACGAAAAAAAAAGGTTGGCCAAAAATGTATTCACTGAGAAATATACGCAGTCATGAAAGTTGGACAAACGACTAACCATAAAGAGTATTCATGGCGAATGATAGTCTCTTCACTTACATTTCTTCACATTTTCTTCATTTGTATTGGAAAGATTTTTCCCAATTGATATTAATGTATTCCAATATTTTTTGGCAATTTAAGGCATATGGTTTGCTCATGATCCAGCGCTTTGTACGATTTACAGTACTTGTTTTTACGCCAAAAAGCAGTTACTTGAGAAACTGGATATGATTTTGGAAACGGTCAGGCGTTTCAGCTAGTATCCACTACCTTTCGTCAGTGACTGAGACACCAGAAGAGAAACGCAGGTTTTGTTTTTAACCCTACCTAGACCGGGGGGGGGATAAAAGTGCCCGCGGCAACTTTGATGTCACCTAGCGTCTGAACGGCTAGCCGTAGAACGGCTAAACTTGGTGACTTTTCCTAGAATACTGTTGGCAACAATTCTCTATCATTGAAATAAGATAATAATTTTTTTAGTTGCCATGGCAACGGGTTTCTGACAGGCATTTTTTGCTAAATTTAGTACTTTTTGTTTCAACAATAGAATTTTATGGGTTTTATGTCAAGATACTCATGGTTTCTAATATAAATAACATCCCATATAATTTTATGTAAATTTCATAATTAAATATGCATAATTTATGCTAATTTGATGACGTCATTGGCCAAAATCCAAGATGGCGGACCATATCATTAGAACAGGTATATACAGGTTATTTTCATTAAAATTTCATCAATACTTTCATTTCTTTTTCCAAAAAAGGTTTGAATGACGGTCTTTAGTATGTTTACAATGTATTTTAGGCTTTATCATGAAAAAAAAAACTATTTTTAAAAATTCAAGATTGATGATCCAAGATGGCGGATATCTTAAATATGCATGACGTCATTTTATGACGTCACTGGCGTTGCTATGGGCAACATAAGACTTAGTACACCATGATATTCTGTCATTAACACTTTTGGTACAGTTATGTTGAATACCATTTAGTTTTCAGGGAAAAACCTATTTAGACGGTTTTGGCCAATAAAATCACATTAATGACGTCATAATGACGTCATATTACGTCATAACGACATAAAAATTGTAGATATGATGAATTTTTACTAGTACACCATTCTCTGAAAATTTGGTGGTCATACGACATACCGTTCGCGAGTTCTTAGGGGGGGGTGGCCCAACGCTTGTAACACTACGAACGTTTCTCTTACCTCCTCGAACTTTATCTCGGTGAGGTTGTTCTTCGGCGCTGTTTGCCAGTTATTGTTCAGGAAAAATCCGATCGCGCTGCTCCACCGGTTGTACTCCGGTGCCGCGGCGTACTTCTTGAAGGTGCAGCGTTCAGCTAAGGTGGGGCCGTCGTAAACCTCTAGCCCCCTCATCGGGAAACTTCTACAGTTACACAGTAAATATTCAATCACTAATTGTTGGTTAATTATGCTTAGGTCATATTTCCAAACCAGGGCCCGGTCGGGCTGTTTGTATGAACGAAAAATTAACCAATCCATATCAAGAGTATATACACACAGTGCGCATGATTATCATCAAAAACGTTTCTGTGTTTTGCTGTCTTTTTTATCGTACTTTTCTTTCCGAAAAGCTGCCCGGCCGGGCCCCGGTTTTGAAATGTGACCTCAGCATTAGACAGGGTTAGATATCTCTATTTACATTCTACGAAGCACTCGTTGCAAGCATATTTTAGATATAGAATGGAGTGATTCTACTTCTGGATCATAGCATAAACTTCTGATAGCCTGAATGCCAGCCTTTGTAGCTTCTATTAAGATGAACTTCTTTCCGTCGTTGGCAGGGAAGCGACAGAGAAATAGCGTACTGATAAAGCTAAAAGCCTGGCATCCAGGCTTTCTGACACAGAGAAAGAGAGAGTGACAGAGAGTGAGAGCGACAGAGGGAGACAGAGCGACAAAGAAACACAGAGAGAAATAAAAAGGATGCATCCTAAAGCTAAAAATATCTCTGTTTCTTTTTTCTCTCTCAATACCAATTTGTACTAACTTCAGCATGAAGCCTTTTTAGCTCTCTCTCTCTTTACTAACTTTTATCTCTCTTTATATACATATACCAAAGACATCCTAAAGCTAAAAAATCTCTCTTTCCCTCCCTCTTTTTTCTCCCTCTCACTACCCATTTGTACTAACTTTAGCATGAAGCCTTTTTAGCTCTCTCTCTCTTTACTAACTTTTATCCCTCTATATATACATATACCAAAGACATCCTAAAGCTAAAAAAATCCCTTTCCCTCCCTCTTTTTTCTCTCTCCGTACCAATTTGTACTAGCTTTAAAATGAAGCCTTTTAGCTCTCTCTCTCTCTCTCTTTACTAACTTTTATCCCTCTGTATATACATATACCAAAGACACCCTAAAGCTAAAAAATCCCTTTCCCTCCCTCTTTTTTCTCTCTCCCTACCAATTTGTACTAGCTTTAAAATGAAGCCTTCTTAGCTCTCTCTCTTTTAACGAGATTTTATCTATATATATATACCAAAGGTAAAAAAAAACTGTCATCGTGCAATCGTACAGAATGAAAGATTTAAAGAGCCAATGAGACAATACATACTACAGTAACAGTGACTTACGTGGATTTAGGGAAGCTCCTCGGTACCGGCTTGACCCCTCCCATTCCCCAGTCGCTGGATCCGCTGGCCGTGCCCACGTTCTCACTCTCCCCGATAAAGATGCTGTCCCAGATCTTCTGACTCGATCCTTCGTCGTTAGGGAACGTCCCTTCACTGTATCGAGAAAGAAAAGTTACATACAAAGTCACATATATATCCATCACGAATCAGGGATCGAAATACTGGGTGCATGTGCACCTTAGTGCACCCAAATTTAGAGCTGTGCACGAAATTTTTCTCCGTGGGTGCACCAGTGCACCCAAATATTTTCATAGGTTTATGTATCTAAAGATGTTACATGGTATAGCAGGCTACAGCATATTTTTGGCATCTAAGTGTCAGAAAAATAATAAAATCATTGTTATTACTTTTCTTGAATGACTAATGAAGCATTAGCTTTTGCTGACAATATTTTTAAATGGTGCACCTAAAATATTAGGTTGGGTGCACCAGTGCACCTATTCCCAAAAATGATTTTTTTTTTCAATTTCAAGCCCTGCGAATCCTCTTGTTACTTTTGAGTACGGAAATATAATTTGTGTGAGTTAGTTGTATATTTGTGTCACTGCTTGTCCTAATATATCTGCGGTTGCATGATGGGTGGGTGGTATATGATTTTGACAGTTGATTGACAGGAATGTCACATGTGGAAGTTAGTGGGAGGTACGTGGCGGAATTCAGTAAGTAGTGTAAACCACGATTAAATACCAATCAACATTTAGATACGTGATCTACGGAAAACGATAACATATTCTCAGTAACAGATTCAGCAATATAATAAATACATGTAACTCGGCTGAAAGGTTACCATAGCTCTACTATAGCCAAAAAGATTGTGACACGCTTGTAGATTAACAAATACTGATATCATACCTTGACATTGTCAGTCCTTTTCCATTGTCAACGAACCTGGAAAAAGATGAAGGTATCAAATCCATGTATTTTATGGTTCCCATACAGATAAATATGAAATACAATCTTTCCTGTATGTACACGTCGAAGTTATAGACAAACTTTTCAAACTAGTCAATGTTGGGGACATGGTTAATGTGAAAATTCTTGGACAAAAATGCAAAACAAAAACAACAAAAACCAACTTCTTTGATACTAAGTGCATGGTAACATAGACTTTACGATCGTCGTAGTATCGCATAGGTACGGAGGATATTCTACGTTCTTGGGATAGAAAATGCTGTACTAGATTGATGTCGACGGCTGGTTTCATAACAGACCGCTAGAGAAAAGCATCAAAATCGTACGACCTACACGAAAGTGACCACCAGACTCCTTTGCATGCAGGCTGAATAAATTACAGAAATCGGCCTAAAAATGATCGTAACTGGCCAGGGGACTTATGCTGAGGTCCCATTTCCAAACCGAGGCCCGGGCGGGCTGATACGATTAACGAGAAATAAACCATTTATATCAGTAATATACGAAAAATAGTTCCTATTATTATATTATACTTTTTGTTCCATTAGGCTTCCCGGCCGGCCCCGTGTTGGAAATGTGACCCCGGCATTAGCCGAACACACGGGGTTCAGTTTTCCTTTTTAAGCCGATTTGTACTATTTATTCAGCCTGTAAAGTAGTAGTAGTAGTAGTAGTAGTAGTAGTAGTAGTAGTAGTAGTAGTAGTAGCAGTAGCAACAGTAGTAGTAGTAGTAGTAGTAGTAGTAGTAGTAGTAGTGGTAGTAGTAGTAGTAGTAGTAGTTGTAGTAGTAGTAGACTGATTTATTAGACATTTAGATGTTACATAAAAGCCTCCTGGCAGCCGTAACGGGCTGAATTGTTAGGCGATTTTACAGACGTGTCAGTCTAACTTAAGTAGTTACAAATTTACAGTAAAGAAGTATGGTTAAGAAGTAGGATGTACGCACGCGCATTTGTTGAACCAGATGTCGCCTCCCCGGACCCAGGCCCCGTGTTCGATGTTCTTGAACGCTATGAGACCCTCGATCATGGCCGGCACGCGGGGCGCCAGGAGATCGGCGTTCTGATGGGGCTTGTACCTGCAAAGATAAAGTTACAAACTGTAGTAAAACTCCAACACACAGTTTACAGAGAGTTCAAATTCTCAGCGACCACTGTCGCCTTCATCAGGATAATTAATGACCAATCACTTTACAACGTGATCTCGCGAGAGTTACGGTTTACAAACACGTGACCTTATCCACACGAGACGCAAGCAATTGATCAAAAGTGCCAGGGAGTTTTAATTATCCTGATGAAGGCGACAGTGGTCGCTGAAAATTTGATCTCTCTGTAAACTGTGTGTTGAAATAAAGTTCAATGTTTTACTATGATTACTACTGGTACAAACTGGTTAAGAAAATGCTTATGAACTATCTCCCTCGGAGTCCCTCCCCAGCGAAATCTAAATGTAACAAGCTCAATTAACACAGTCCAGATAGAAAGCCCTAACTGTTAATTTTGTCAATCGATCAGAAAAAACCTGCACAGCCCCAATTTTACCTGCACTAACCTGTTATATTTTCAGCGAGTATGTAATGTCTAACGTTAAATGTTACGTACTAGTACTGTGTGGCGTTTTGGTGTGTCGAAAATGAATGCAAAAAAAATGCAATATAACTCATGTCTCTTACATGATCTGTTCCTTTACCTCGCTTAATATTTGCATGAAAATTCATATGAGTTGGTTGATTATATTATGAAAAATTTAAACTGTTCTCAAACTCATAAATTTCCCTCACCGGAATTTTCGACTGAGGGGGTTAGAATCTTGGATACCGAACAGGATTACTTCAAGAGAGGCATAAAAGAGGCCATATACATCAGGGCACTTCAACCATCGCTCAACTGGGATGGGGGGGGGGATATCGACTTCAGACAACATTTGACCCTTTGCTGACGTCACACGTGGGAAAAATCACGTGTCCACAGCATTTGGGTCAGATAGCTGAGGAAGACTGAGTGATTCAGTCGAAAATTCCTGTGAGTGAAATTTATGAGTTGGATAACAGTTTTTCATTGCTTGATATTTGTTTGCTTATTTCTTTATCTTGGAACAATTATTGCGTACAAACGTATCTTTCAATATATGGTACATACAACGTCTATTATAAGGAGAAAGCACTGGGGAAAATACCGTGCGCCGGTTCTGGACAGGTATTCCTCTGGTGAATTTGCAGATGGCTGCGTAGTCTTCACGCCCTCGTCTATCATAAATCCGTCCTAAGTAAAACAAATCAACTACCATTTCAAACGATTTGAGCAAAACATCGACGAGAAATTGATCAGATTACATGCAATGTTAGTATTCAGGAAACATTCTTAGTTGTTAGTGCAATAGACCTATCTAGTTCAAATTTCAAGTTTAAGAAAAAAGAAAACAAGAGGACATGCTGCTGCTAATTAACACACTGAAATAATGTACGATAATCTTCAATACACGTCGATGGCGGCTAGAAATCAAAGTAATGGAATACAAAAGTAACGGTTACTCAAGAAAAGTGATTTTTTTAAAACTTCAGTGTCTTACGGAACACTTTGAAATCGCCAATACATACCTACATGTAGAGGTCACATGAAAAGGAAAAAAAGTTGTATATTGTGAGGGATTGTCCGTGAGAATCTATTAAGTCATATCTTATACCCACTTCTCCATTAGAGTGCACCCTGTTGTTGTAGAACCGGCCCAGAGGAGTCCGCGAGGCTTGGTACCGAGGAAGGGCGCCCGCCGACAGGCCGGTCGGTTCACGGTGGAAGATGTACCAGATTCCAGTAAACTGCAGGGAAGGGGAAATATAGACTTTTTTATTCCAACATGTAATCACCAGACGTGGTGACACGGTGGTCAAAATTGGGCCCCGATCTTCCCACCTGCTGTAGAACCCGAACCATGTTCGATCTGACGTAATTCGAATAGAACGGTGTTCGAAACGGGGTCACCTGCGGTCATTTACAGTAAACCTGGGTTTTCCGGCCCCTTTTTACATGTGTACCTTCTAACAGAAAAAAATCCACCTTTTCACAAATATAAACCATTTCCTGGACAACTACATGTCTGCCTTCATTTTGTAGTGGGCTGGAACATGAAACGAAGCTACTGCCGTTATTGTGGGTGACCTTGAAGATCGCAATGCTTGTACTCATCAGCCTAAATAAACACTAGTCATATTCATGCCGTATGACATGCGTGCAAAACTCGTTTAAGATTGGAAGCATGGAAAGTCCAACATATGTCATTGACGGCTCAAAATGACCGTAATGGGTTTGTCCAGAATCGTGTCTTACGGATTTTCGAAAAAGGACCATGATTTTGAATTATGAGCAATTAAGTGCGAAAAATGCCAAAAAATGCCGTTTTTTCACATTTATGTCGATAAAAACTATACTTGAAATCAGAAATTAAAAAATTCCTAAGACACGATTTTTGATCTTATTCCTAGTCGTCGAAAAATGTAAAAATCGGGAATTTGGGGTAACATACGTAGCTAATCTTAAACGGTTTTTGCCTAAAAACATGACTCGGACTGTCTCGGACTGGCGCTCCAAATCCCGAAAAAAATCGTCTTTCGGAGCGAGATTTTTCAAAATTAGTAATTTAACGTAAACAACTAACATTAAACCTATGTAAACACGATAATTTCATTTTATTTTGACGGAATTTACCCTTCAATACTATTTGTTTATTTTCAAGTAGTTTACGGGTAGTCCAAAACAGGCCAAACTTGCGTCCTGTAACCTGATACGTTTTCGAACCCCCCTAGCAATGGGAAAGAATACCGTAGTGACAGACCGCCGTGTGACGGCACACTCGAGTTTTTTCAACTTATAATTATGCCTTCACCAACACAGGGGACAAATACATGCCAGGACAATACTCATTTTCACCTGGGCGAAGTGAGGAAAGTCGTGTAAGGTACATTTCCCAAGGGCACAAGATCGGTGGTATGTCAGGACCCGGGACCTCTAGGTTCCGAGTCGCGCTCTCTGCCGCTACACCACACGACCCCACAAATATAGACTTGCACTGCACTGTATATTACCCGCGTTCAGAGCTTTTGTTTCCACAGTAAGGTGCTAAACTTTGTTTTAGCACCAAGGATACACAAGGATCAAATTTTCTGGTACGTTTCATCGATCAGTGACGTGACGTCACGTATACGTAAAGTCTCGTTTGGTCACAAGTCTAGAACTTTTCTGGCTTACGTTTAGAAGTTATTGGTCATTTATTGTTCTGCCGTTGAAAATTTAATCGTTGTGTTAAATTAATGTCGGAATAAAGTTTAGCATCAATTTATGCATTGGATCATTACTACTAACACAGATGAAATTACATATGATATGTTTTATTTTCTTGTCCATGTGTTTGCTTGTGTTTCTGCAGGTTTTTTTTCACATGCAAGGTTTGCTAGAGACGTTGGTTGCAAAACGGTTAAGGAAATGGTTATCTCATTTCCTGTCTTTAAGGTCATGCCATATGCCATATATACGCCCATATGCCATATTTCCTATACAGTGGAGTGACGCCCACCGAGACTCTTAAGCTAATCTGTCTGTCTGGGTGCCAAAAACACCTTACGGATTTGGTGCGCCGATGTGACAACATCTTCACATTGGCCACGGAGAGCCGTTAAATTAAATTAATTTTTTTTATATATTTATGACTTGAAATAATGATAGAACGATTAGATTGTAATCATAATTTCTTAAGAAATAAGACTCCATACCAGAGATCCGGCTGCCGCATTGTTGGTGAGGATGTTGTTAGGATGAGCAATCCAGAACGTTGCTACTGCTCTGTGTACGGTACGCAAAAGAAAAGAAGAAAAGACCTTTGATTGACGATACGGAAAATAGAATTTATGTGATGGCAGGTTTTCACCCCCACTTCCACTCAGACAAGATGCCAACTTTTTAGCGAGTAGACCGTAGACCTCTGTATTGGTACGACGCCACCTTTTGTCATGTGATTTAAGTAAAGCTCAAACCGGCTTGAAGTTAGTTAAGGCGCGGTCACATTTCCCAACCCGGGGCCCGGCCGGGCAGTCGTATGGAACGAAAATTATGATATAAAACAGCAAAACACACAAATAAGTTTTAGAACATTAATCATGGGAGCTATTTGCGTATATTACTGATATAGATTGTTGTTTTTTTCCGTTAATCGAAACAACCCGGTCGGGCCCCGGCTTGCAATTGTGACCGTGCCCTTAGACGTGGTTTTGACGATTAGCGCGTCGCGCAGATCAGCTATGAGATATGCGACGTACCTGAATCGGACTTGCAAGGATTAGTGAAAAAAATTATTGCATGTTTATTCCCCGGGGGGATAAATGCATGGATGTACAAAGTACAATGTACTAGAGAGTACTACAACAATAGTAATAAAGAAAGGCTAACATCAGGTCTAAGGTATACAATGCTAAAAATGAAATATATACATAAAGTGGTATCGATCTAAGTTCTAATGGCTTCTTCTCTATTTTTGAAACATTTTGGAATATACTTACATACTTCATTGATGACGTCTATATTTATAGATGATATGATATATGATATAAGTGTCTTCATTTGATAATGTTTTACATTTTTTGTCGAGCTTAATTGAACTGAACAGTGATTTACGTTCGTTATCATATAATAAACACTCAAGCATAAAATGCGATTCATCTTCAATACAAGAATTGCTACAGATACAGTTATTTGCATAGTCTATCTTGTAACGGTGTACGGCTATGCCTGCCCGAAACACTCACTCGCAGTCGCTGTTTGATGGAACGTAGTCCCCGTAGACCTCGTCCCTCATGCGCCGGCACATGTAGGCGTCCCTGTCGGTGGGCAGCAGCGTGCCTGCCCGCGTCACCAGACCCAGGTTATGGTCCAGCACGTTCCGCTGCTCGGCGCCGTCCTCCAGGAAGTAACAGTGGCCGAGCGTGTCGTATCCAACTGTGTCTTGGACCTGCAGACGTATCAGAGAAAACAATCATCACGAAAAACGTTGTCATATGGTGCTTCTCAAGCAATGCTGTGAGGTAATATAACCTATATTCTTAGTTTTGTATCTGCTATCTTACGGAAGTAATCGCTTTTTAGCTTTGGCACACTCCTTTGGTCGCCTCTTTTTCAAAAAGACTTGAGTCGCACACATACTATCCAGCATTCATTTAATCATCTATTCAGAATTCGGACGGGTACGATGATTGGCCAAACCCGAGTGGCGGTATGTGACATCGCATCAGCAGAGGCCACACTCAGCGCGTAAAAGGCTTATTGCGTTACTTAATGAGTATAGGACTGTAATATAATATGGGCCCGGTCCTATTGGTAGCTTGAGTGTCGTCCGATTTTGTAACGTGGCTCCTTGCACTCGCTCTTGCTTTTTTTTGGGTGAGTGAGTGCAAGGATCGCTGTTAAAACTTGAGCAGTACCCAGTCCCTGTCGTTATGGCTTGGGATCTAAACGCTACTAAAAGCTACTAAAGCTACATGTACCAAAGGTATAAACGGTCAGAAATGACACTGACTGACCAGCAGGCCGTTAGTCCCATGGATGGTCACACAGCGGGAGAAGCAGTGGTGAATGGACAGCTCACGGACGTACGCAGGGCGGCTGTACCCTCCGACCTCGTCCACATCCCCCGCCATGTGGAAGTGGACAGGGTACGCGCCGTTCACCTGCTGACCCATGCGGGTAAACTCGACACCAGACAGGTGGACATCTTTGAAACCTCTTAGAATCTGTTAGGTCAGATCATAAGAGGGGGAAGGTAAGAGTTGGCTTGATTTATTATAATGTTACCTTCGCAGAAAGAAATCATATATTTTTGCTATGTTTCTTCTTCTTTTCAAACCACATAAGGTCAATAACCTGTACCAGACGGCTGTTACCATGGTAACAGGTGCTATTGCAGACCCTCACTCACTCACTCACTCACTCACTCACTCACTCACTCACTCACTCACTCACTCACTCACTCACTCACTCACCAACTCAAACAGAGCAGTAGTTTGTTAAGCTAGACAATGTGAAAGTAAATGTTATGCATTTACTTTGTGTCTAGTCGAACCACTACATCCGTATACAAGAAGAAGACGTTGTTAAGTAGATAAATGTTTCCTATTCTAGTTCCAAGAAGGTTGTCAATGAAGATTTTTGCCTTGGTTTTGTATTTCGTGTCATTTATCTGTTGTTGCAACATATGGCTGTGGTAGTTGATAAATGATACACATGACATACTTTCGTAGACACACAGAAGTTAAATCCGCATTAACGGGCATGGCGCCTATTTCTCTAAATTCTTTAATCGGGCTTGCCCCTGAGGCGTCGGCAAAAACTACCTTCATATGCCCTCCATACGTGTCGTAGTCGAAGAACTGGCAGAAGTTGTCCCCATAGCAGCTGTCCTCGACCTCCCCCTGGAACTTGATGTTCCTGGTCAGCAGACCAACCTCTCCCCGCAGGTCTACGTCATCCGACACCTCGCCGAAGTGGTTGTACTGAACCTCTCCTATGAAGTCGATTAAATCAGTCAATGATTTAGGAACGCTGATAGTAGTGGTGTAGTAAAGACATCGTCTGCAACGGGCAAAATTGTGATGCACCGTTGGCCAAATATTAAACGTCAACCGTAAAAAAATCCAGGTTTCGCGCACAGTCGCTGCAAGTTCGGACGCCGTGCTTATGCTAAGGCCACATTCTAATTGTGTGTCCTAAATATATTGATATACGCAATACACCATGCACTAGACTATCGGATTCCTTTCCAGCATTTGCCACAATGAACTTGAAAAGCAAATTTAAATACATATTGACAAGTGACAACCCATACATGCTATATTAAAGACTGTATTAGATATTAGAAACTCCTCCAAATATTGTAAGTTGATATCTCATACTAGCAATCCATTTCCTGTATTAGTTAGATTAACCTTACTTATTCTAGTAGATGCCATACTTTGTACCATGTACAACTGTTGCGCAATAAAGTTATTATTATAAACGGAAAGTCAACAACTAGCATCATGAATATACTCAAATAGTACTCATGATAATACTTCAAACTTTTTTGTGTGTTTTGTTGTCTTTTATTTGATACTTTTCGTTCACTAAAGCTGCCCGGTCGGGTTCGTGTTTGGAAATGTTACCTGGGCATTGCACTAGGTGTTCTTACCGCTGATTTTGACCTGGTGGGCGGAGCACTGCGGACACGGTACCAGCCGGAACTCCTCCGCCTGCTCCATGTTGTAATCCGTGCTGGCCAGCACGATGTGGTCCCCGGGCTGCCAGGAGCTCACGTCATCCTTCAGGTTAAGGACGTAGTCACCGCCTGCACTCTTCACCGAAAAGGTACACCGATCTCTTCCTGTAGCACAATAAGGCCACACCAATTAAATTTCTTGGATAACGGATTTTTCTAGAAAAATAATGGAGCGGGCAGGCGAAAAAAAAATAAAAACAGGCCTAGGCATCCTATTGTGGCCCTAAATGGTACGATAGGGGCCATAAAGTCAACACACCAGGCTGGTTCAAAATTCAAACAATGAATCTTGAACTTTTAATGATACCACTGCATTGAAATATGGAATAACTGTAACAACTAGGAAGAAAGGGACTGTTTTCAACTGTTCAGGGCAAAATATGAACAATTTGCAGTTGATTCTGTGTTTTTTTTTGCAAATCAGAAAAAAAATTAAGCTGGCGAATCCGTTAACTAAGAAATTAAATTGTTGTGGTTTAATGAAATTTTTGGCGACGTCTCAGGGAGAAGCCTAATGGTACCGTATTGTGTGCAGTTTGCAAGAATTCTAGGAATGGTACAGGCATTTTGTCCACAGGCATGCGGAATGTCCACAGGCATTTCTCTGACCCACATCTATGCCCACATTCCTGGAAACCCTTGGGAAGACCTCTCTGCACCGGATGGCCCTACTTCCTGTGACCCCGGGGCTTGTGAACTGTATATATAGTGTCTAGACTTAACAGGTACCAAGTCTTCCTCAAAATCATGAAATGATGGCAGTGCCATGCAAACAATAACTCTAACAGCAACCACCGTCGCCATGGCAATGTATGTTTTCATAAATTCCCAGTCTTGTTATAATTAATTTGAAAATTTTAAAATGCTGTATGGTTTTTAGAGAAAAAGTACTACTATACATGCACGACTATGATATCATAATGTTGAAAAATTAGAATAGCATAGTACATGTAATACAATTTTTGTCTTACCTCCCAGCCATTCACTTGTGACAGTGATGTCAAATGAGCCGAAGAAGGCATCAAACGTCGCTGTGACGGCGGCGGTGCCGGTGGTCTGTGTGTCTGGAATGAGATAAATACGGATGACATACAACACATGTATTATAACAATATGGAATAAACTGGACGTCGAGACCAGAGCGTTGGGAGCTAACGCGTCGAGTCCAACTGACGTGGCGGCTTTCAAGAAAAAGCGTCAGTTGTCAATGCGAAATACATTCAATCAATATTTAAGTTTGGATATAGCCTTCTTCACAACCCGCCGTACGTGCTTTTTGTCCGTACGTTTTTTGGGAGGCTACGTCTGATACGTTTTTTGTGAAAACGTGGGGAAGGAGTGGCGTCGACGCACGTCACTCGCACGGTTGCGCAAGGTGTAAGAGTGGGGTCTGCACGCCACGTCTGGCCGTGAGCGGTTGCGTGCATCGTACGTTGCGCAAGTGGTAAGTGAGTTGTACGTGCTTACAACGTACGATCTATGTGCGATTGCAACTTTACCGTAAGGAGGGAGCGGTTGCGTGCATCGTACGTTGCGCAAGTGGTAAGTGAGTTGTACGTGCTTACAACGTACGATCTATGTGCGATTGCAACTTTACCGTAAGGAGGCTATACTCACACGTGCTTCATCCGTACGCGACACGTAAGGGGCACGCGTGTCGCACGCACTCGCACTTACGGGTGGTGAATCCGCAGACCTCACGTAGAAAAGGTTTTACATGCACTTAAAGTTCTACGGCGTGTCTGTGTGCTCCCAAATCCGTAGGATTCCGTACGGAGGTGGTACTCACCACGCACGGATGCCCTACGTTTGCCCACGTTTTTGCACGTAGACAGCACGCTGAAGCACGTACGGCGGGTTGTGACCGAGGCGTGTTCCTGGGTGCTGTCGTGTGGCTGCACCACCTGCCGCGCTACGAGGCCCCGTTTAGTATGCTTATTATTGTTTTAATTGTCATGTATATACAGTATCACTGTTTTGTATTTTCTATATATGCACATTGTCTATTTATTTGTCGGCATGGTGGCCTCGAAAAGGTGCACATAGGTCCATCTATTCCACCATGCCTTCCATGTACATGTGTATGTGATGAATTGTAATAAATAAATGAAATAAGTAAGTACACCTATTCGTAAAATTATTAAGTAAGAGGTAGCAAATTACAGGTCGTGTTGACCCAAATAAGATGCTAATAGTGTCTTTAACCAGTACTCACCTATATAAGGGATTCTCCGTTCAACTGCGCGACTGGGGTCTCCCTTCACACCGACAAAGGCCCAGGGTTCCCTAAAACGTGCCATAGACTAGTCATTAAACTATTATCACTATCGGGTACAAAAGTATTGTTTTGGGTAGTTTAGGTGTGGGTTTGTTTGTATATTTTTTAGATAACAGTAAGTGGACAGGATGTTGGTCTGTTTGCCTGTTTGGTCGAGATTGACAATCCGAAGGACAGGTAAACAGGTCAGACACAGAAAATTAGGTGTAGTTAATAATCGGTCGACAGCACTTGGGTGGGAAAGATTGACAGGATGTCAAAGAATTGCAGAATGTCAAAGATGAGTCACAGGAATTGGGGTTAACATGAGGTTACAAAATATTTCCCGGTAGTCTTTATTGTTTAGCTTGCGAAAATTTCTCTTGAATATTAAAACTTGTAGGCTGCAGATCGATAAGATTGTTGTTCTATATGACCAATTCCTAAAAGAATATTAATTGTAAAAATTTCTTACCTACGAGATAAGGAATCCACTTCGACGCTTCCCAAAGCCCTGATTTTCTCTCGAGCTGTTGCCTCCAGTCTTGATGATGCCTCGTCCTTTGTTTGCAGCGTCACGATTTTCCCCTGCGGTATTTGGTCGATGAATGACGCCAGATTGCGACTGTTGCCTTCGCTGGCGTGAGTGTCGAAACTTCGCCAGTCCACCACGGCTCCTGAGATTTCATCGACGACGTTCACGTGCATTCCACGGCCCCTACTACTGGTAGCGGAGTCCCAAGCAAAGGTACCCTGATGTATGGCAAATAAAATAAAGTAGCATTTAAAACACGCCTCGGCGACGTGATACTCTTTTGATGTGTGATTGCGAGATATCAAGACCGGAAGTTTCACTGCAGTACCAAGGGAAGCCACTAGGGGACCAAAAATCTTATCATTTCTAGATATAGTCACACTCTACAGATCCACTAAGTATGAAACCAAATCCATCCAGCCGTTCTTGAGTCAACTTGTTGAAAAAATTTAGTTCACTAGGGAACGCATTCGTGGATGCATTCGTGGAATGCATTCATGGAATTCTTAGAATATTTTCAACTCAATCGCAGTACTATGCCAACAGCTCCACCCCTGAGGCGTCGCCAAAAATGCTGCGTTATCTCGTCTATTGTTTTCCCCAATTAATCTAGGCTAAAGCAAGTACAGGACTGAATGACATCATAAACGAATTCCAAAGCTGTTGCGAGAACAAGAGCAAAAGCAATCAAGATGGACCAAAAATCAAGATGTCAAATTCAAAATTGACCATAGCATCAAGTTGTCTCAATTGAAGCTAAAACTTTAACAACTACCAAAGTACTTTTTTGTCATTTCTAGAACTACCCCACTTGGCTACATCAATTCTATCAAGTTCACTCCCACGACTCAATTTCTTCATTTTTCGGGAAAAATGCGAAAACCAATTTCAGGTATGAAATTTACTTGGAGTGCGGTTTAACTATGTTATATACATATAGCTGTCACACTCTCATTCACTCTCTCATTGGGTAGAACAGTTGATTTCTATTCTGTCATTAGTTGATGTGCTAATGCCGATGGACAGACCGTCTACACTTACAGCTAAAGACCTAGTCTCTATCAGACTAACTACGCTGGCTAAAAAGTATATATAGGAGACTATTTGCGGGGGGAGTTTGGCCACCTTGGGATTTGACTTGGCCGCACAGGGGAAGAAACAACCTCCCGCGGCCAGACTAACCTGGCCAATATTACTCTCTTTTTTTGCCGAATTCTATATACGATCCGTATTCCCGTAGAAAGGCCTGGTGGAGGCTATTGAAGACCAACCTTAGGAAGTCCCCCTGCCGGAACAGTCTGGGTAAGCTGTGTCCAGGCCAGCTTGTGTTGACCGTGGATCTCCAGAGTCCCACCCGCCGTGACCAGGAACTGTTTGCTGTTCTTCTGGTCGTCCTTACGGCCGTACAGGGACACCGTGGCCCTCCCCTGGTACGGGCACGTCTCACTGCCGATGTAGAACCCGCCATCGCTGCCCACGGTAACCTCACGTGCTCTCAGGACTATTTCTGTCTGACCCAAGTCAGCAAAGACAACCCTACCTGCGCAGACGGATACAGTATTATTACAGAAAGTAACTGATTCGTCCAAAAATAATTTTATCAGATTAGTAGAACATAGAATAAATGATTTTATCAGGTTAGTAGAACATAGAATAAATAATTTTATCAGGTTAGTAGAACATAGAATAGAAGACATCCATTTGGGAATTTCTTTTACACCATTGCTTCACTGACCGGTGCAATAGCTCAATTGGTAGAGTGCTCGCTTTGTAATAGGAAGGTCGTGAGTACAAACCCGGGCCGGGTCATACCAATGACTTTAAAAATGGTACACACTTCTTTCTCTGCTAAGCACTCAGCACATACGAGAAAGACTGTGGGAAGGTCAAACGCACAGCACTACCAGCGGACTAGCCCCCTGATGTAGTGCCCTGCACAACTGTGTGTCGCCTAAGGGCTACGGAAATGGACATGGGCACCAAACCCCATGCTCTGCTTAGAGCACGGGAGACCTTTTCCCCTGACATTGCTTACATTGCCTATTATGCACATTTCTCTAAGCTTCTACCTGGAGTACAGCTTCTCTGATAGACGTAAAATGTAAGGGAGATGAGAGAAGCACAGGTTATGTAAGATAAATTTTCAATATCCTAACTTGTAGTTTATTTACTTAGCATTTACGTGTGTGTTAATAGTTAAAGCTAACTTTGTGCTAATTTGCGGATATTTGTTTCACTGAGTCATAGCAAAGTTTGACAGAAGTACGACTTACCCCCATCCTTGACTTCCAGTGAGGAAAAAGTGGCTGATGACTGGAGCAGGTAGTTCTGTCCTCTACCCACAACCACCTGCGCGTTCGGGTGGTGTCCAGGGTTCCATGGGGTCAAGGTAGGGTCAACATCCGGGCATCCTGTGGATACAGTTGTCGATGTATATTGTGTGCAAATGTCAGGTGCTCGGAAGTTATCTGCACCTTCCGTTAAATAATCTTAGTTTATCAGGACGATGACACAGCCGATGCTCCTCTATTTTAGATAATTTGCTTTTTGTCAGTAAAATTCAGTCGATGCCCCTCTATTTTGGATAATTTGCTTTTTGTCAGTAAAATTCATCTTTTGGAGTCTTTGGGATACAACTCCTTAGAAGTATTTTTTTCGAGATTCTTTCCAGGAGGTCAAAACAAAATGTGTTTTCCGACGCCATGCTTCTTGCTAAGCTTAAAAAAATATTTTGACTTGGCTCTGCTACAGTTATGTCGCATTCGAAGGCTCGGGTGAAGGTCTTTTTAAGTTCGAGCGAACGGTAAAGGTTAGAGCTACGTCATTTAGACGGGTCATATCTTATAGTGTTTAAACAATACTTACGCCATTTTGATTTGATTATATGGATGGCATCCTCTTGGAACCCCAAAACTGATGCGAGCGTGCGAATATTGCCATGGTGAATAATTATAGTTCTTTTCATTCCATCATATTTTCTTCTTGTCCTCTGGAATGGAATTACGACATATGTTTGCTCATTTTGCAGCTACTTTTGTACGATTTACAGTATAGTCGAAAACTGGGCGAAAATTCATGCGTGCGCGGATGTCATCCATATAATCAAATCAACATGGCCTAGCGGAACTGAGTAAATTTTGTATGTACATTAAACTGATTAAATTTTTCACATCTGGGTTGGTTCCCATCTGGACCCCCTTTGCTCTTATGCTTGCATAGTGTTATTATTTTAACACAAATTAGGGAATATTCATAGAAAATTTCAACTTTGAATTTTCTGGATGGAGTATTGTTTACCTAAATGTCTAACCTTTACCAACCAGATAATGTTGTAAAAATACCTACGTATACATACATATTTTAATATGATCAATTGTACATACTGCACTAAGGCACCTCTGTATGTCTAATAGATAAAAATGGGTTGTCATTTTTGGGGTGATGTCACTGCCGACTTAAGAAACGCAAGGGCAAATTATATGTTAATCTATGTAGTGCGTTTTGTTGGCCTCTATATGGAGAAAATAACATAATTGTTTAAAACAATATCAATACAATGTATGGCAACAATAACAAATATGAACAATACAATTATGTCTATTCTAAGAGACTACTAGTATTACTACAGAAATAAGAAACTATTAGTGTTACTACAGGAATGTGTACTTAAATGGCGTATAACATGATGTGTATTAGGCGTTGCTATCTGTTACAATACTTTCTCTCTTTTGTAATGCACTGCATATATATTGGCCTAAGTACGTAGATATGGAGTCAGGGCATAACAATGACGCTCCTGTTTTTATATCGTATGTACATGCACTTTCGTTTGTTTATATCTTGCACATATGTATCAATGCATATATGTATACATTTTAATCTGCAGGTGTGTCTAAATGCTTCAAATTTGTAAAAGTTCAACGCAATTCAGTAGTATACACAGCCTTTTATTGTATTGTAATATCCTGCTTTTGATGAAAAAATAAGAATCAAAAATTGTATTTAGAAAAATACAAGATCCGTATCTGTATCGGTATAGCCGGTATAGCCACCCTTCGGCGTAACACACCAGCTTCCCAGGCACGCGGCGCGGCGGCGGCTAGCTATATCACACTGAACAACTTGTTACACTTAATCTTTGCATATTTAATTGCAGGAGTTGTTTAACGCTTTCTGTGATGACGCCACAACTGTGTTTGGTAGGAACGAGTTCCAGTCTACGATAGTTCTTGGGAAATACGAGTTTTTGAACACCTCACTTCTTGGTTGATAACTCTGATATTTGAAGGCATGACTGTTTAAACTAATTTAACTAAAAGTGCAGCAGTTTACTAAAGGAAGTCTCGAAGATGCCCTAGAAAGAATTGTTCTACTTATAATAGAAACATCCTTTGTTGTGGCAAAGCTCGAAATTCATTTTTAGTAATAGGTGCACCTAACCTAAAAAAAAATTTGGTGCACCAAATTTATTTGGGTGCACCATATAAAACAAAACCTAATTACAGATATTACTGCTCCTCTTCTGAACTTGAATCTGAAATAGGAGCTAAGTTATGAAATCTTACGCAAGCACTACAACAAAGAAATATTATTTTTCTAACACTTAGATGCCAAAAATATCCTGTATACTGTTTGTACATTTTTAATACTAGTATGAACAAAAATGCCTACAAAAATATTTAGGTGCACCAGTGCACCCACAGAAAAAAAATTGGGTGCACATCTCCAAATTTGGGTGCACTAAGGTGCACATGCACCCAGTATTTCAAGCCCTGGTTGTGGTAAATAGAAATACTTCTCACCTGAGATCTGCGACAAAACTGACGCCAGAACGCCCAGCAGTACCACTGCAAAATTGGAGCCTGCCATCTCAACTCCGCCTGTCTCCAATTTGAGGCACTTCAAGAAATGTTGTTCATTATTTGGCATTCATATCTTTACCAGCACCGCCACACGTATATGTTTACTTTGCGATAGGAAGGGGCGTGTTAGGTTAGGAAGTGTCTGTGTGTTTAGTTTGTATTTAGATAGTCAAGCCAAGCAAAAGTTCATTGCACAACAATTGTAGCAGGTACACTGTATGGCAGATAATAAGATTAACAGCTTGTATAAATGCACAATTCTACATATAACGTTATTTAAAAAAAAATAAATCAAGATCACTTTATTGAACATTACAATGGGTCCACTGAATTACGTGCAATTTACACAGTTTATTACAGTATTTTACATAATAAAATGCATTGACAATGTAAAAAGACGGTAGTTAAAATGACAATGGTTAAAAAGACGCTGCGAATCTAAGGGATATAAATTGTAGTAAATATACATCTGATCGAAGAAAAAAGGAACAATATTTACGTCTGATGTGTTACGTTATCAAGGACTCAACATGTTTACTCAACAATCCTTGATAACGTAACACATCAGACGTAAATACTGTACTTTTTTATTCACGGGCACTACGTTTGGCAGAATGCTGAATAGAACAACTGACTAGGAGCATGTACTATAATCACAAGTACGTACTATGCTACGCTACGCTAATATGTTATATTTATAAAGAGCACAGTGAGCAGTTATACCGTTATATAAACTATACAGGATCTACGAGTGCAATACTTTATAGAGTGTTAACTAATTTACTGGCTAAGATCTATAGCAATTTTACGTATAGGTACTAATATGTCGATATGTCACCATATTTACAACCTATCGATCAATTAATCATAAATTTGGCATTGCATAACCAAGCAAGGGTTTCATGATCGCATACCTTTGCTAAATAATGTTAACTTTACGACTGTTGAACTGCTTCTCATTGCATATGCAAACAAGAATTCTGAGATCTCATACCTCCATGAAATATACGAATTATTGTAAATGATTTTTATTTGTCTCACTGACTATGGAAATTAGGTCGTAATTAGCATAACCTAGTTTAATGTATGGTTTTCTAAATTCAAATGACAATATTTTTCGTGTAAAATTTATGTCCTTCATCATACTTCATTTCAACATGTCCTCATTAGTTATGCAAATGACCTGTACATTAATATGATATATACATAGTGGTATTAACCTATTACTAAGTTACACATGTCACAAGGTATATTATTCCCAGGTGCAATAATCATTCACCAATAAGGAGTCACAGAATCTTCACATTAATTATGCAAATTAGGTCATCATTTGCATAATTACGTCCACGAAAAAGTCCTTTGGAATTGTTTTTGGCGTGTCTGTACGTGTGTCTGTCTGTATGTCTGTGTGTTTGTGTGTTCGCACATTTGTAGTCAGCATACTTTCAGAACGCCTTTATGGATTATGATGATATTTGATACATTGGTAGGTCTTAGAAAGACAAAGGTCAAGGCCAAATATTGGCCTCCTGGTGGATGACCTTGGTACTGCAGCAGAAGTTACGTTTTTTGTATCTTCTGTCCTTAACATGCTATGGTCTTGGATTTTTGGTGACAGATAGATTTTCCTGTCAGGAGTAAGTGGTATAAGTTTTGTCCCCCTAGCAGCTTGCTCTGGAACTGCAGGTTTGTACCCGACCCCTGTAAAATCATCTATAGATTTGACTGAAATAAAACTTATTAGTTGAACGTACGTTTTCAATATTTCTATTGTCGTACATTAATAGTCACATAAGCGATCGCGTACATTGTTATATATACGATCGCTGAGTCCTTTACATATGTATTTATAGTAAAAACGGGCATCGGGATTTAGTATATATATAGTTGTGTGCATTGGGATGAATTCAATATACTATAAGTGTTATGGAGTAGATATAGTGTAAGATTCAATACGAATTAAATCATACGTGTATAATGTTTAACACCAAGGAGGACATTAGCAGTTCAACTGGAGTACAAGGTCACGCAACTTAAAGGAAATTCCAGGACATTGCAATGGACGTATGTCCGTCTGGGTTCAAAACTTCAAACCCCAGCCGTACTACTAGAATGTGACGATGCTCCAATTAAATTATCGTCGTACGGTGGTCATGCCAGGCATTACACACAGAAAAAGTTGGAGAACTTTGCAGATTCTGTGTTAGTTTATTTGACTTGGAGAAACATGAGAAAAGTGAGTCTCTCCTAGACGCAGCTAGGCAACCAGAAACACATTTAGACTGCCAAAACCCAAAACTAACGACATGAAAAAGACTTTTTATGTATTGGTTTGGTCTTCACGACTAAAATAAAGAGTTACTAGTACTTTATTTGCTGTTTAGCATAACTAACGAACGCCCCCCCCCATACGAGGGGGGGGGGCAAGCGACACTACTCTGTGTAATCTACAACACATGCTGGCCAGCGTGGCCAGCGTGGTCACTCAGACCCTGCGTTTCTCGGGTGCGGCCGCTAAAACCCGCCCACCCACATCCTGTAATGAATACGTCAGCGCTTTACCTTACGATTGCATATATTGTACATATACATATATGTACACATTTATTTCTCCTGTGGAGAAAATTAGACGGTCTTTTATTGTTGTATAGTTGATATACTAATAAAATGACATTGAACCCCCAGTCAGACTCACTACTTACATGTAGATAGCATTAGGTTAAAATGAAACACCTTTATGTAGTTTGAATGTCCTCGTTCTATGTGTTTACGGTATAGGGAGATTAGCTGCGTATTCATGTATTTGTGTACGACAGCTAATGGACTGAATAAAGTATCCAAGTATCCAAGACTCCCTCCTGAGAAATGCAGCCTCCCCAGGACACAGCCAGGCTCCCTGATATCAAATCTGGACAGCCTTGATCTAATTTAAAGGACATGTTTACCTGAACTTTGTCTTGTCTCTAAATCTGTGTTAACTGACCTAGAAGAAGGACTATTCCGATATATTTAGTTATACTTTGTCGTCCTACCTCAGCTGACCCAAAAAAGACGCGCAAACTTAGAGTTCCATCAATTAAGTCCTAACTTCATGTCACCTTTTAAATGAACTACCTTGCACAAAATCAAACGCGGTGTAGAGACACCGTATTAAACCGTAACCAACTACAGACCGCCATGGTAGGGGTCATGAGGTCACCGATCCCCTGACACGCGGTACAGAAGAAAGGGCAGCTCCAGAGGTGGACACTGCGCGTCCTGAATGGTACAGAAATACGCCAGGTTTGAGACTATATTACTACTATGACTGTTATTGGGTGGGCCAGCTACTCTCTCCTTGTATCTAAAAGGACTGAGCTGCAAGAAGCTTACAATTGGTGGGGCTAAGTCACAAGGGTCTGGAGCGGCAGCCATTCGGCGCTAACTCAGGTGACCTCAATACGTACCCCAAAGGGCGGCCATGGGACCGCAAGGTTTGACCCATTTACACCGGGTAGAAATCCTTACTCTTTTCAATAGGTTTGGTTGGTTTAGTTTTTAACGTGCATGGGTTGCGGGTCTCCTATACACATGGATTCCATGTTTACCTCATTGGGCGTTGGTACAAAGTTAGTACTGTATCACATTTCGGAGAGTGAGAGAGGCCAAACTATGTTTCAGTTGTATGTGACAGTGTATAGTGATATATTTTTCTATGCGCAAGAATTTTCATTTACAATAGGCTAATCTAGGTTTCATTCAGGGTTTTTTTTCCCGGCCAGAATACCTTATAAGATGCCGTCAAAGCTTAAGTTGATTTCCACATATCTTGCAAGCTTATTGTAGCTTGATGTAACACTGCAACCGAACATATGATTCTTTGTACCTTGCTTTTGCACCCTACTGCAGATTTTGAAGCGTTGAAAATTCTCCCTTTGTAAATCCCTATCCTGGATAAGAAGTCTTTATTAGATAACGTCGATTATTATTCGGCGAAGGTGTAAGCAATGTATGAATGAATGAATCTTTATTTAACTTGCAGAAATTACAATTGCCGGAATTGTGTTGAATTTACAAATTACAAAATATTAAAATATTAAGTATTTAAAGCATTAACAGTTATTTACATTAAAATACGTTTGTCATAAAATGTTCTGGATTCATTTGTACTAGTCTGAGTTGATGCATTTATATACATATAAAATAACTAGACATAAATACATTGCGACATACTGTTGTGGTAACTCAGTACAGAAATACATTGTATTGGTCTCCTTTGCAGGCGTCCTAAAGTAGGTAATTTTTTTTTGGGGGGGGGAGGGGCGCTTAATTGCAAGTTGCACGATTTTCCCTGGATTACATACTAGGGTTGGCGGCCACAGAAAATCGCGCAACTTGCAAATAAGCACCCCCCCCCAAAAAAAACGACCTGCAAAGAAGGCTAACAATGTATAATGTAGCGGAACTATAGCTAGTATGTGTACATTATTATTTGTATTTCAGACAGCTGTAGTCAGACGACATGAGTTACCTGCGGGGTGCTGCTGAGGATCCGCTCCTGGACGTGACCTTCGGTCAGCTGTTGGACGACACGGCAGTTAAATGGCCGGACCGAGAGGCGTATGTGTTCAAGAAGACAGGTTCAAGGATCACGTTTTCCGACATACAAGACAAGGTAAGAATTCCAGATAAATCATTATTTCCTGCAAAGGCCACACTGCAGCTGACTTAAGCCACGGTCACAACCCGCCGTACTATCTGCGTGCTGTCTACGTGCAAAAACGTGGGTAAACGTAGGGCATCCGTGCGTGGTGAGTACCGCCTCCGTACGGAATCCTACGGATTTGGGAGCACGCAGACACGCCGTAGATCTTAAAGTGCATGTAAAACTTTTTCTACGTGCGGTCTGCGGATTCACCACCCGTGCGTGCGAGTACGATAGACGCGCGTGCCCCGTACGTGCCGTGCGGAAGAAGCACGTGTGAGTACGGCCTCCTTACGGTAAACTTGCAATCGCACAGAGATCGTACGTTGTAAGCATGTACCACTCACTTACCACTTGTGCAACGTACGATGCACACAACCGCTCACGGCCAGACTTGGCGTGCAGACCACACTCTTGCACCTTGCGCAACCGTGCGAGTGACGTGCGTAGATGCCACTCCTTCCCCACGTTTTCAGAAAAAAAAACGTAGCAGACGTAGCCTCCGAAACAACGTACGGACAAAAAGCACGTACGGCGGGTTGTGATCAGGGCTTTAGGTTTATGGGTGACATTATCTGAAGACCCGAAAACTAATGCGAGCAGGCGAATAAAATGTGAAGCCCCCCAAAAAGATGATGAACCATAGGAATGCAAAGATTGCATTGATCATTTGCGGTTACACATTAGGTACACGGTCCTGCAAAGTTCTGCCGGTGATGATTCTGGCAGCACGGTTCAGCATGTTTGTTTTAGTCAATGCCTTTTACAAATTGATCCCCTCCCCCCCATTAAAAAAAATTCAGCGCCACTCAGACATCATTTTCACAATTCCAATGAATTCCAGAAAACTCTTGATACATACTTTTCGGGTGTCTGAAATCCTATATTTTTTGTTCCAAAGGAATGTCTTGTCTTAAGGTTTTACCTGTGTATGTTTCCGCATACACAGACGCTTTCAATATTTCATGGAGGTATGAGATCTCCGAACTCTTGTTCTGATCTAGTTATTTCCCGCCCCTCCAGGCAACCAGACTGGCAGCTGGACTCAAGGCCATCGGCACGGCACCAGGAGATGTAGTAGCCTGGCTCTTCGGGCACCGCCCGGAGTGGATTTACTTGTACTTCGCTGTGGCCAAGTTGGGAGCTATTGCGGTATCTAAGCTTAATTTTATTCCTCTCTTAACATTGTTTTTGCTTCCATTTAACGCCAATATTCTGGTCCAGACGGCTGTCACCATGGTAACTGGTGCTTGGGTGTTTGGTTACGTAATGTAACCCAAGGCTGAATGTTTTAGATGTTGTTGGCTAGATTTTTAAATTTGATTCGTTACACTGTATGGAAAGATATACAACCAGGGCTGCACAACTTGCTGACGGTTTTTTTTATTCTGAATTAATCTAAATTATCTTAGAGTTAGTCCAAAGCAAGTGATTTTCATGGATGACATCAGCGGGCGCATTAATTTTCGCCCGATTTTTAGAAAAAAAAAAGAAACTTCGTTGCCCTCTGATAGTAGTCAATATGCCGAATATGCATAGGAAAAGATGTCTGTTGCTATGCCGGAACATGGATGGCAGATAATTGTGAAGAGAGGAGAAAAGACAAGACAGGGGTCTGAGTCATTGTTTTGTTGGAATCTTGTTTTTCTTTGCCCGCCTTTATTCGCCCTTTCGAATTATACAATGTATACTGTGTGGAGGATGTCATCCATTATTGCTGTGGCCTTATATTTATTTTTATACGTAATATTTATTTCCATACGTGACATTCACAATGTTCATGCATGTGAAAAGATCAGCACATAATGGTGATTTTAATGAAACATTTGTCAGAGATGCTTATTCACGCATATTAACATATATTTTCAGTTACCACTACAGGAACAGCGTATAGGACGGAGTGTGGACACAATGAACTATTTCCTTAATAAGGTAATGACAAGCAAGTGTTACGGTGTTCTTGTGGGTAGGGCTGTTAGCCCAAAGGTTTTTTTCGAAGCCCTACCATGGCAATGCTCTGCCCTATGAAATGACTGTTTTTACTCGGAATAATTCAATGAGGGTGCAGTGTTCTTCAGAATTCGACGTGGCTAACATGCCCTTCGCCATACTGTAATCCCTGTTAGACGCAACAACATTACAACAAGTCGCAATGCGGAGACGGGATGAGCTTCATTGTGACATCCAAACAAAACAATGGCGGGCAAGGTCTCACAATGATGACCAGTGACGAAGTCCCCATTGGACTCAACAAACGACCCAATATATGGGTGGCTCGTGCTGACTTTTTAGTATCATCTATTCCTAGCATGTTACTTCCCACCGGGGCTGTACTAAAATCAATAATTAGTGCACAAAGGCGATAAATATTTTGCTAACTCGATGGAGGTAACTTCACGCACTATGGATGGTTCACGTCACGTTCAAGCCGTGACATAGCTCTATTTAGAGGTAGCTCCGTAGAAGTGACTAGTCCATCGCGTTAGCATTATAAAACAGCAAAAGAAACTGCAATACCGTATTACATTTTTTGCATAAGCCCTACGAACAGAAAAAAAAGGTCGAACAAAAAACGTTCAACCATAGCCAAGGTAGTAACTTATTGTGCTCCGACTGTTTGTTGTTTTTAGACACGTGTGAAGGTACTGATCATGGGTGACGATTCCGGACTCCAGCCAACTTACGGCACGACTCCGTTCCTGTTCAGTTTGTTTCCGGAAATAAGAACAGCCAGCCGAGGAAAGCTGCACATTGACAGGTGAATTCAGAATGTCAAAATAATTTAAAAATACGTGCAGAAACAACATTTCCATTGTGATCATGATTAGGCCGAGGTAGAAGAAATGGTTGTACTTCCAATTAAACGCTGCTAAAAATGCGAGAAATCATGTTTCTGAAGTTACATTGTCAGTGGGAAAATCTTATGGCCTTGTCAGAATTGACCCCCCAAAGGCAAGTCGGAGGGTTTGGGTTGGGTAAGTCGGAGAACCAGAAATACAAGTTTTTCTATGCCTTATCAAGGCAGAATAGCAAAGTTCTTTTTATCACAACCATTTATTTTTCAAGCCGACGTTTCGATGGCCGTCTGTCATCTTCATCGGGGCAATTCTGACTGGTTTACTGTGCACTGACGCTAGATGTTACTTGGTGCATAGATGACAGAAGGTCATGAAAACGTCGGCTTGAAAAGTAAATGGTTGTGATAAAAAGAACTTTGCTATTCAGTCGTTTACCAATCTGATGAAATTATTTAAAGGGGGGGGGGTATCAAGACAGTCATGTACGCATGTTTTTACCATCGTGATACAACTATGTGAGATTGTTACTGCTCTCATTACTAACTTTGACTTTTGGTTTCCATCCAGAATTCCAACGTTGAGCGCTATCGTTGTTCTTGAAGACAAGGCGACAGGGTGAGTACTTTCTACATCTTACCTCCGCCAAGGTAATTTTATGCAGCGTTTGTGTGATAGTATATCTTTGTTTCTCTCAGTTTTCTTTTTAAATTTGATTTTATTGATTTGCACATCAAAGTTCAAACTATAACAGAAAGTAATAATACAAAAAATATATAAAACAGGTGCAGGAGGAGGGAAGAAGCATGAAAAGCTTATACAAGGTGATACAAGGCCCTCCTCCTCTAAACTATACAAAATTAAATATAATCGATAAATAACGGATACAGAAAATAAAAAAAAGATAATCAAGTAATATACGGTGTAAATGGATGACAATGTATGGTAATGTAGATTATAAATATGTAATAATAATAATAATAATAATAATAATAATTCATGTAAATTAAAATAATAACATTATATGAGACTACTGATTGATAGATTGCTATATTAGATGGTTTTTAACTAGACATGTCGTGTATTTGTTGAGGTTTTGTTTTTAGTATTGACGAGATTGCTTTGCCAAATTTCAGTTTGCAGAGACTATAGATAGTGAGAAGTTCTTACTGACAGTATGATTGTCTGTACGCTTCTATGAAGTCCCGGTGTCTACACCATGGAAGAAGTACAGACCCTAGGAAATGACGAGACGCTCCTGGCTGAAGTTCGGGCTCTGCAGGACCAGCTCAGCTGCCACGACACGGTTATGTTGGGATTCACATCAGTAAGTCAGAAATGATGACTGTTATATTCGGAACCATACTCAGTCACCGTTAACGTTTTGAATTGTCAATTCGTATCCTTGCTCGGGGCAAATCTTCCTTCCTGGATACATATATCCATGGACCCATGGTAGGGCATTTTATTATTATTATTTTTTATTCCAAGATGTAATCACCGGACGTGGCACACTCAAGTTTTTTCAACTTATATTATTGCCGCCACCAACACAGGGGACAAATACATGACAAGACAATACTCATTTACACCTGAGCTAATTATAAGTTAGGAAAGTCGTGTAAAGTGCCTTTCCTAAGGGCAAAAGATCGGTGGCATGTCAGGACTCGAACCTGGGACTCTCAGTTCCGAGATCTGCCGCTACGCCACACGACCCCATGGTAGGGCATTCAGTCTAGAACCAATAAATCATGGGTTTGATTCCACCTATCTGTCCCAATGTTGTTCGTCACTTCACTCAGGTAAAAATGAGTACATAGCTTCGGTCAGGGACACCGCTGTGATAGGACGTTAAATGGAGGCCCCTTGTCGAAGAGAGCACTTCCCACGTACGTTGAAGAACCCATCACACCTTTAAAAAAAGGGGGGCATGTCCTGGTTAGCAATGGTCCAAATTCCACAGCTCACAGTTTGATTCTCGTCAAATCACAAGTATAACAGAGCCATCCGGAAGTTGATACTGGCTAACTGAACCCCAAATATAAAAAAAAATCATATCCGGAGTATAGTTCCAAACTATATTGTCATGACTTCTATCTGTCACGTGTCCTGGGTGATCTTTGACTCCCAAGTCACGGGATTACATTTCAGAGCTGAAATATTGCGGATGATGAGCGTAAATTTAAGTTATAAGTTCATCTAACTCTTCATTTTTGCAATGACTGTCATTAGAGGCGTCGGGTGGCGTAGTGGTAGATCATTCGACCGTGGACCCAGAGTCGTACCCGGGACATGTCTGAACATGCGCCCGACGTTGTGCCCTTGGGAAAGGCACTTTACACAACCTTCCTCACTCCACCCAGGTGTGAATGGGTACCTAACTTCGGTTGGGGAAAGTCGCATTGAGGTCGTATTGTGGCGCCGAATGGCAGCCGCACAGATCCTTTCGGCAGTTCCACAAAATGTGGAACAAATATGTATCATGTGTATTATGTGCATTTATTTTTTATGTGTATTATTACCATTCGTATCATCTGATTGTAAACCCTGCATCAATTCAGCACTATAAGGCTGCGATTGCACGGGTGATTTTTGGCCAATAAACCATTTATTATATTGTTGCACATCTTTAATACTTGTGTACTTTCCTTTTATTAATTCCTAACTCGATTGAAGTATTGTTTGGGTATTAATATGTTAGATTTATATGTTTGGGTTTCAAAATGATGAGTTTTACTTGATTGACAGGGTTTGACCCAGCAACAATACTTAGTCAACATTATACGATGGAATTCAATGATGAAAACTGTATATACTTTTCGGAAGTTTGAAATCTTTGATGCCTTGTTTTCACTTTATTTATCCTGATACAGGGAAGTACCGGTCCCGCTAAGTGTGTTGAGCAGAGCACGTACTCTCTTCATAACAACATCCGTTTTATCGGCAAGGCTGTAGGTATGCCGAATGAGGTAAGACGATGAACAAACATATGCCGTTCAATAGTATTGATAGACTATTTTTATTTCAGGGAATTCATAAATAATACATAATAAAATTAATACTATTAGTTTAACTCTATATGTATGAGACTGTTTATATCCGTTTGTGATCGTTCGAAGTCGGGTATGATGTTCACTAAAAACAAAAAAAAGCAACAGCGGAATAAGTTCTACATTGACCTTAGGCTCAGTGGATGGTCTTGCACATATAGGACTATATCTAAATGCCTAAGCGCTAGTTACAGTACATTCTCCTGCCATACCACATAGTCATTGTCTACAGTATCGACATGTCGATTTTATAGCAGAATTTTACAGACGTTGCACATTGTTTACATTTATTTGTGTAAAAAAAGTTTACAGTTCTGATGTTTGGTGACAGGGTACAGTACTCTACCCGTACTTGTCATTCCGATTCGCTGTGATCTACCCATTCACTGCCGGCTGTACACTCGTTGTTCCTGCCAGTGAGTCGCCATCGCCTGTTGAAATCATGCAAATAATTCAAGAGGAGAGGTAAGTAGAGTTATAACATATACATTTTAATGTCAAGACTTCCGGGACGGAAGTATTGGTTTGGGTGGTGCTAGTTTATGCTAGCTTTGTATATTTGGGTCCAAATGATTGGGTGGAATTTCGGTTTCGTTTGATTGACAATGTTTGGCTAGGATGTGATCACCAGTTATGTATAAAACATCTATAATTGCGGATGTCTATGGTACGTTTTGTCAGACAATCGTTTGAGTAATTTAATGTTGTATCTTTTTTCCAGAGGTTAGAAATCTATGGTTTCTTTTTTTTTTGCGATATATTTTTTTTAATGTTTTAAAGCATCGTCAATGAATTATGCAAGAATCCAACATGATAAATGTAACAACGACTTTTAATGATAATGTCATAGAATCGTATTAGAGAGATACTGGGTCAATATTACTGGTTGACGCATTTCGGGTTTATTATTAATCAAAAGCAACCATCTTTCAGTTTCTCCACTTTCTTGCAATTACTTTCCATTTGTCGTCTTTATTTCTTTATCAAGGTGTAAGGCGATCGGCGTCTTGTTCATGAAAGAATGCCATGGTCTGTTTCATAGTCCGCACTTGGGTGATTACGACCTGTCCTCACTTGAGCGAGGTAACTATAACAAATATACTTCTAAAATACTTATGCCTCCGTCACATGCAAACATTTGAAATCATTTTTGCCATATGTTTTCAAGTCCATTATTTCATTGCACAATTTTGTATATCTTTTCCTAACGTTACAAGTATGTCGAAATTTCCGCCAATTCAGCAAGTAAGCTTCTAAGCAGCATGTAGACTAACGGAAGCCGCTTCTCTATTCTTTATACTTTTAATCATTAACGTCAGTAAAATTGAAAGGTATAATTTTGGGAATCTGCAAATGGAATGTATGAAGAAAGACCAGAATCCTATAGTCACGTTAACTTACCACCTCTACATGTCCATTTCAAGTTTAAAAAAAACACTTTTTATTGATTTCTTTGCAGTGCTTGTCACAGGCAACGTCACACCGAAGGGTCTTGTTGACCACGCTGCCAAAGTTCTGCCGTCAGCAAAGTTGTTTGTTAGTGTTGTCCTATTTACTACATATGAAATATTTTCTATAATAACTGACATTGCATTTCCTGCTTTGGGTACGCTCGATGGATATCATTTTTATAGCTTCACGATGCCGAAAACGAGAATTTTTTTCAAAATCAGGGACATTGTGCTTAAATGCGGTTTAAGGTAATGAGAAACAGATGATGATGATAATGCTAAACGAAAGGGGAAACAAACAAACAAGATGTTGCCAGGAATTAGGAAGACCCGTACTGAAGGAATCATAACAAACTGTACTAGAGAGGTAAGTCTGATAACGGTTGCTTAGAACCTTGATTAGGCCTGTATCTTCTATCATTTGTATTGTATAGTGATCTATACCATTCGGCGTAACACACCAGCTTCGTACTACTAGGCACGCAGCGCGGTGGTAGCTGGCTACATTACATCGAACGACGTGTTACACCTAGACTTGGAACATCTAAATCTAAACATTATCTGACGCAATGTAATAATAATGCCCCTGTGTTTAATGAGGACGAGTTCCACCCTGTAATAAGGAGGAATGAACTTTACGAACACCCAAATCCTTGGTTCATAACTCTGAAGGCTTTCTGAACTTGGTAAATCAAACTTTTTGCTACAAAGTGCATTCGAATGTCCGTAACCGCTATGAAAATCATTGGCACATTAAAGGCTTACAGTGCGGTAATGATCAACAGAGTTTTGACGTATCTATTGTTCCCATTGATCCATGATAAAGGTTTGCTATGGCGGCACGGAGTTCATGTTTTTGACATCAACGGCAGCTGAGATGGTTGCGAAAGGAAAAGGGGCCACTGTGGGCAAGCTGTTACAGCATGCGGAGGTACGTAATGTTACTGCTACTTCACAACTTTCATATCATCTTTGGCTTTGGAAGACTTACGTAGGGATTAATATATATTTTTAGCTTTAGTCTGACTGATACAAACGGCAGAAGATTGTGATTAAATAAGGCATTTTACTACACTTGCATTATTTTAGGAATGTCCAGTAGATGGCAAACTTATTTGATCAACTACCAGTAGAGCCTGTATACTATTCCCAGTAATGTAGTTAGTTAAAGTCCTCCCCGCAACCATTAGCATGGCTATGGTCGCATATGGCGGCGCCCATCTCCGTTTCTATAGCCCCTGGGCCACACAGTCCAATCACTACAGCAGGGGGCTAGTCCACTGGTAGTGGTGTGTGTTTAACTCCAATACTCTTTCTCAAATGCTGAGTGATAAGCAGAGAAAGCAGTGTGTAGCATTTTTAAAGCCTTTGGTATGACTCGGCCGGGGATCGAACTCACGACCATCCGAATGCAAGGCGAGAACTCTACCCACTTGGCCATCGCACCGGTAATACACGTATTCACAATTCCAAAAATCATTTGCATGACAAATTGAGTCTAGACTGCGTTTGTTTTTAATTTTGAAATTTAGTCACTATCTTTTATGAGGTCTTTTTGCCTTTTTCGAATTACTAGATAAAGATTGTCGGCAAAGATGGCCAGGTTGTACCACTAGGCCAGGAGGGAGAGGTGCTTGTGAGGGCGTACTCTCTATTCAACTGTTACCGTGCAGACAAGGAGAAAACAGCTAAAGCGCTGACAGGTGACGGATGGTACAAAACAGGGTATGTACAGCACACATGGTCATAACGAAGGTACGTTAGAGATGTGAAGATAAAGGAAACCATTGTGATATTGTGCATTTACCTCGGGTGTACAGCTTTTAGGTGGAAGCACAACAAATGCAAGTAAAATGCTAGACCAAAGGTGAATCTAGTTAGCAAAGTGGCATGCACCAGTACCGGTGCAATATCTTAACTTAACGTTAAACATATCTTACACATTTATTCTTCATACCGTCTTTACTATATCTATGAAAAATGGAGGTACTGATTTTGGTCTGCCTGTATCTGTTTTTCTATTATTCATGCGAAATGCTTTGATTTATTATTGGCAAATGATGACAACCTCCTATTGTGTAATATGTAAGTTGGTAAACCGTTAACACCACTATTATGTATTTATGCATATGTTAATGTTGAGCTCATTTGCATAATTGTTATAAATTGTTGAAATGGAACTTTGTCAAGGGATAGGACTTGACCATATCAAATCATTTTTTTAAATTTATTTATGATTTCTCAACTCTCAATGAATTTCTTAGTTGAGAAAACCAAAGATAGATTATGATAATTATAAAATCATTTCCATGATCTGCATTCTCATTTGATGATAACAGATTCGCCTCTTGGCTTTCATATCCCTCGGCAAAGGTAACGATAACCTGATGGAAGCGACTGGATCTCTTTTTGTAATTTTTACCAATTTAATTTGTCGCTTCTCGGATCACACTGTCTATTTTATTCTTATTTGCAAAAAAAAAAGAAATTGTTCTAAATAAACTGCAAAATGCTCAATGAAAGACATATTTTGCATTTTGGCCCCTATGGTTAAAGAAAGTAATTTTCTTCCTAGTTCTTAGATTTTACACTTTCAATGAAACAAAATTGTATTGTTACATTGAAAAACTTGTTTTAATCATAAACCAGCCTAGTATGTTCCCTTTACGGCTCATATTGTAACATTTTAGGCTAACATGGGTTGCCTTGGCCTGTTTTTTTTTTATTTCGCCCTGTCGCTTTATATTTCTTTTTTAAAAAATCCGAGAAACACCAAATTAAAAGTACTGCAACATTTCTGATTTCTGTACAAGCAGAGATGTTGGTGCTCTTGATGAAAAAGGTGTGCTGAAACTTTTGGGAAGAGTTTCGGTGAGAATAAGTTTACTATATATTACTTTGTTACTGTCCTTTGTTTTGTTTTACTATTAGCCATGCACATTTGGCATAATTTGAAGTAGTAGCAGCAATAACACCCACCCCTTCACAAAGAGTAAGTTATTTATCCAATCCATTGAAGACATGTAGTGGGGTCGTGTGGCGTAGCGGCAGAGTGTTCGACTCGGAATCAAGAGGTCTTGGGTTGGAGTGTTGACATGTCACCAATCTTGTGCCCTTGGGAAAGGCACTTTACACGACTTTCCTCACTTTGCTTAGGTTAAAATGAGTATTCTAATGTCCCCTGTGTTTGTGGTTGCATTGATACAAGGTGAACAACTTGAGTGGGTCGTCACCACGTCTTGTGACTAGATGTTGGAATATTTAAAAAAATGTAGTGACGAAAGTATTTAGGGTGGCGCTCGTTCAGGGTGGGTTGGTATATTTTGGGGTAGAAGGATGCTGTTGTCGACTACGTAAGTCATAAAATTACTACAACTGTATAGAAGTTGGTGTATATTAGGTTTTAGTTGATTGACAATTTAACCAGGTATGTCCTGTGTTTTAACTATGAATGTGTAACCTGTATTGAATTATCATGGTATTGAATATACACCATGGCAAGATATCTGAGTAAGTTACTCCATACAATTAATATATCAACAACCCATAATATAAAGTAATCCATTATCGTAAAACATGTCTACATTCCATGCCTTAAAATATGACTTCCGCTGAACAATTATTGGCATCTTAGAAGTTTTGAATGTCTGATTCTTGTTTAATAATGGCAGATAACATTGTTCTGTCCACAATCTCTATGGATCTTCTGCAGGACATGATCATAAGAGATTCCTACAACGTGCACCCCACTGTCATCGAGTCATCTTTGTCCAAGCATCCTAAGGTGCAAGATGTCAGGGTAAAATATGATATTTCTTGAATGAATAATCTATTGCAATACAACATTACAAGCAAGATACTAAGAATAGATGCTTATGATTTGTAGCCGTTGTATGTTGCATTGTAATATTGCCGTTATATGTTGCATTGTAATTTTTAGGGTGTAGGGAAACATAAGTTAAATATATCCATGGACACCCAGGGAAGTCCAAAATCCTCACGAAGTAAAATAGTGTTTTATCTTAATGTATTGACCAATGTAACGCACGATACTATTTATTCCATCAGGTCGTTAGCGTGCCTGATCCGGCCAGTGTGGAGGAGATCTGTGCATGCATCATGTAAATGAATTTTTATACTTACATAGAGCTGACACGCTTCAAAGACCAGACCATCACAATTAGCATTTAAACGAATGGGAGGATGGTAGAAAGCTATTCGACCAATGAGAAGTATTTTCCCTTTTAAAAGTTGATATTTTTTTTAACGGGTGTTAATGGGCTTTCTGATCGGTGTATTGCTTCTTTTGCAAACCTTATATTGTTTACACACCTGCTGTTTCATTAGGCATGTACTGAGATACTAAATGTATTACTGTCAAAGAGATGTAGGGGCAGCTTAATCTGATTCAGGAATTCCATTCATCATATTCCCTTATCAGCACTGAAGATAAACCTGCAGAATCCAGAACCGTGATTCATCCAGAGCCATGTTGAAGCAATGTTATGGATAGTCTACGTGAATCCAGAACAGTGCTTGGGATACGCAAAGACTATCCAGGACAGTGCCTAAAATCATTAAGACATATAGCTGTACGGATCTGGATACTATAACTTTCAAACAACACAGAAAGATACTGGGTGGTTACAAAAACTACGCTATTGTCTATAAACGTCACTGTTTTTTGTCACTATAACATTTGTACATGGATCTGTTTCAGCCTGAATGAGGGGCAAATCGCGGACTCTCAGGAGATGACGACGTTCTGTGCAGAGATCGGGGTAAGGAGAAAAAAACAGAGCTATTTAATTTGAATGAAAATACTTAAAAGGAGTTGTTAAATGAAATTTTACGGAGCCCAACGGTGCGTAACCGCTACTGAAGGCTACTCGTAACACATCTAACATGTGCTACAGAAATGACAAAATACGAAAGAATAATATTTACGTAACCAGATAGAGATCGTAAAGTTGTATGAAGGTCAAAAGAGTTAATTGTGCTATGGTGTAATTGTAAGGGGATTCTGAGACAGTTAATTGAAGTCATTAGCGCAAACCATATCTTAATTCAGGAAGTTAAAATTTCTTGTTTCCTCAGCTCGTTCCCATAGAAACGCCCGGCTATTTCCTCTTCATGGACGCGTTTCCGATGACATCGACACAGCGTAAGGTAGGCGGGATAAATACTACCGCCTGGTTTCTCTGTTTAGTATATGTGGATAGTCTAGGCCATCTAGGCCGTGTTTAAGTGAAATCATTCAAGGCGGTTTACATGTGGTTTACCCCGAAGCCGGTTTCAAGTGGCTCCATCTGAACGCTCCGAAATCACATTTAAAGCGCCTCGATCCCAAGCCACTTCTAGAGGTGGTTTCGAATCGGTTTCCCCGCATCGCGATTTGTGTCTGAACGCAATGTGATTTCAATGTGACTTTGCCTGGTCATGGATTACGGGGTGATATTTCTTTATTTATATGCAATACCAACTTTTACGTGGCAGCAACTTAAAGAGCAGTAATGGTCAAATAATGTGTCCGTTCTAGGGCGAGCTTCACCGCCTCTGGCGGGACCACGTCGGCATTCGGCCGAGATACGCTGGGAGGGGGCGAGGTCGTTGACCTCTGACATTAATAACACGCCACCTTGCGTGTTATCGTCAAACAGCAATAAATGTAGCTCAAGCGAATTGTATTCGGACACGGTTTCAGAGGAGTGTGTGGCACGTGGACCAGATGTGAGGAATGTGAGTTACCCGATTCGCGGTTTGGGTGATTTCACTTAAACACGGCTCTAGTTTATTGAAAGTTGTTGACTAATTACAGAAAACTATTTTAAAGGTTCGAGTCCAGCTGTCAAGCAATAAATTGGTAGATAATGGGCTTAACTAATAATCGTATTATCACAGCTAACACCATTATGAAGCTCTTCATAATGGTGTTAGCTGTGATAATACGATTTTAATATTTCTCATTCTCTCCTTCCCATTTTAGAATTTTAAAATCCATACAATTAGATTTCATTGTACGTTTCTATGTATTTCATTTAGTTAAGTTCTTTTACTTTGGTAGCATATCTAAGTTAATTAAATCTCTAAGTTAATTAATTGCCAATTCTCATTAGTGTCTGATTATGAATTAAAAAAAAACAAACAAACCGGTATTTGCGGAAGTGAGGGTTGAGATACGTCTGTTCTTTCCTCATGAAATAGGTTGACCGGAAGAAGTTAAGATTGGTCGCCATCGACAGACTTGGTCTGAAGAAAGAAGCCTGAAGCCTGTCGGCAGCGCAGACAGTTTTCATCCCGTAATTCGGGTTTATTTCCGGACTTATTTTCATATATCAACAATCTTACTAATATTGTAAGCTACAGGTAAAAAAATGTAACAAAGGCGTAGTAGGCATCGTGGAACCATCGGTTTTAACCCTGAGAACTAGAGACAGAATTATGGGAACTAGAGGCAAAATTATGGGAAATGGGGCCAGAATTGTCGGACAGGCAGAATTCTGTAGACTTCTGCAAAATTAGGTTAATCCCCAAGAGCTCAACGATGGCAATGTCGGAATTAAACTGGAGGCTATATTAATCAATTATATTGCAAACTGTAATAAGAATTTAAGATATTCACTATAATCGACTCGTCTGTTAATCAGACGTTTACAGTAGGAGTTCTTTGCCATTTTGGAATTTTATAATTAATTTTATTTAATTTCGT